GAATTGAAATCGTCATGGACTAAATGATTGAGTAATCACATCGTGACTTCTAAACCAGATCCATTGTTTTCCTTATAACTTCGGTTTGTTGACACGTCCGTCAAGTGCAGTGGTTATAACCGGAATTGGGCGTTAAATTCGTGTCGCAACCTGTAGCCTAGAATCACGAGATGTAGAAACAACACTTTTAGCGTAGGACTGACCCAGGAACCATATTTGGAGAATCGCTTTCGAGTTGAATACATTTTGAAACAGATCCAACACGTGTCACTGGTTTCGCTTCACTCATACAATTTTTTTTCCTTCTGCTTATAAGCTTTTGTTCTTTACTTTTCAAATTCAGGAGAGGTTGTCACACGAGTACAAATAGTCTAGCGGAAGCCTTGTCCATAAAAGGAATTTGGCTGACGCATGAAATTAGGAACTGTGCGAATAACCAAAGGTTAATCACCTATTGTTTGCATTTTGTATAAATACCGCATAGTGTTACACTTTAGGGGCAGATCCTTGGCAACTATACTGCAAGACAGTTCCTCAACTCACAAAAGCAATCTACCTTGTTTGAACATTTCATAGAAATCTGCGTTTCACCATAAATCGGACATTTAAACCTTGCATTTGAATCGAAGTTTTCCAATATTGCTCTGATACCATCCGTAATCAAGCTGTACAACATGACAACGGCGATTTTTAAACTTCTTCTGTTGGGATTTATCAGCGAAGAAATATATGTCTACGGTGCACTTCGATCGATCGGACCAGGACAGACCTATCCAAACGCTAAAGAAATAGACACGTGTGGAAATATCAGAGACATTATCAAAAGAAATTCAGCTCGCTTTAGGAAAATCCTTGTCAGGAACACCAACAGCGAAATCGTGTTTGCCAACGACGATTGTCGACGAATGACGGCGCGAGCTAAAAGTAAGTTGGATGTATTGGGTTCCAGAGTTAAACGACAGTGGAGTAATGCAAAGCTGAAGGTGTTGTTGGCTTGGACAGATCAAATAATTCCTCAGGCGCCGATCTCGCTACATTACGAAGGTTAGTAAAAAACACAAGTTCATTCATCACTCATTTAAAGGTTGTATCATTAATTAACAATTATAAAATTTTCACATTAATGCTATATTAAACGTAACCAAGTCCGACAAATTTTAATAGCTTTAAGTATCTAGCGCAATTCAGTATGATTTTCAATGTATTTTTAATTTTACGTTCATACAACTTACTCCTCTAGCAAACACTGGGACATCGTCTTCCGTACTATTTCTCAACTGCGTTAAAAGGTCAACAGGGTATGAAACATATAGCCCACGTACATTAGCTTAAAGTTTCATTTTGACGAAACAAATTTGTAAAGGTCGTCTCAAGATTGTGCAACGACTTGACCTATGAAACATCATGAAAGATCGCAATCAGGAAAAAAAAAATNTCCACATGAGATTTGCCTTTCACTTTCATTGCTAAACGTTTTTTTACAGTTAACATTTTTTAAGGCTCACAGTTAAAATTTTCCCATTTTTTCACCTGACGGCTAAATTTTGGCCTTCATACCTCAGGTTGAAGCCTCAAACGGCAGTTACATAGCTGAACGTGAAACATTTTCATTACGAATTGAACTGTCTATATTAAGACAGAGAGGCTTAAAGTAAGTAATCTAATTTCTTAAAAGATATATAAACTGAGTAAAAGGACGATAATCGGATTAGCCCTAAACTTTCACATAAACCTGATTGAAATAGCAACTTTGAAACTGATACATGGACTGAACTGACTAAGATGTCAACAACTGCTCTTGTTACTGATTTCTGACCCTTAAATATTTCTTACCTCTTTGTTTATACTATTTTAGAAAATCAAAGTATAAAGGTAATGTTTTTAAACAAATAACAACCCAGTCATTGTGAATGAAAGCTGTGACTGCACCAGAAATGCAGCTGCTCGGAGATGCGTACATCCTGGTCTGGACCATCCCAAAATAATTTAATTTAATACCGGCGGAAGAGTGGGATAAGAATCCCAAAAATATCCAAAAATATCCCACAGTCACGCAGTTTAATGATGCTGCAAATTTCAAACTGGAGGGTATACACAGTACGTAGATACGAGGTAAGAAAAGTTGGACAGAATGGAATCGAATTTAATAGAACATTTTCCCCTACAGATCTAGGGTCTAAAATTTTACGAAACCTGTCAGATCGTAAAAGGTTCTTTTCATTTTGGCGAAAAAGCTCTCACACCAGGCATTGGATTAGCCATCCTCACTGGTTCATTCACGCCCACGAACCGTTCCCTACCGGCGGGAAGTTGTCGCCTGTGGGAGCAGAAACCCGGAAAGCAACCGTGCAGACAGTAACTTCCCAGATCGATCAGCTGTAACTAATCTACTACGTTACAGTCTGTGTCGTTGACCAACCCGATAATGACGAACTTCCGTTAATTTTGTCAATAGATTTTACCCAGGGTTTTCCCGAACGTAGAGCCGGCTAATCAGATTTTTAGCGGGATAATGCGAACGACATCTGTCAATTTTGATTGATGTACACAGCGATGACACAATTATTGCGAGAAATGGAACGGTCAGTGTGGTCAGGACTAGAAGAAGTGTCACGTTGACGCTAGTACATGAAGTGAAATTGTTTTCGGTAAGTTATTTAGGTTTGATAAAACGCCCTCGTTTACTGGTCACATTTGACCTGAAGAATTCCCAACTTCTTCGTATCGAACTCGGTCTGTTTTTAATACCAATTTTAAAATATTAATTTAAAAAAACACCCACATTTCATTTACACGACAGGTATACATGATGTTGACTAAACGAATGAGACAAAATAGAACCGCAGACATTTTCGACAATGCCTCAGTCGACCAATGTTTTTTTAAGCTAGCCTCGGTTCGGCCCGGTATTTTGCATTTCAAACACAGCATATCTGAAGCTCGAAGGGTTAATTCAATCATCAAAGCAGAGACCTGACTCAAATGTAGCTCGTCAGCCTATATAAGGTTATTAATTCTGGCTAAGATGCGCTTCGACGAGACCTATCATCAGACACCTGTCTCACCCCCAAGACAGGTGCTCCCTAGAGTGGTTCTTAATTTTGCCAGTGGGGGAAAATCCTAGAAAATAAATAAACAAATAAATAAATAAATGAGTAAATAAATAAGTAAATAAATGAATAAATGAATGAATAAATAAATAAATAAAACAAAATAAAAGAATTCTAAGCAAAAATGGTGTTAATCATTTGCTATTCTTGTTCTTCCGATACGGTCTGAACATGCGAATTTCCGCTCACATTCAGTATTGGATTTTCCTCGCCCATTTCTTTTTCTCGCGGGGACTGACCCGACTCACATCCTAACCCAAAAGAAAAGTATTAATTCCGACCGATTCCCGTAGTGTTGACGTACTATTAGCACGGGGTGGGGCAGACTCTAGGAAGAAACACAGTCAATTATTAGAAACTGCTCGCCTACACTTCAATATTTCAATTATACATCTTCGCGTTGTTTACAGCCGGCTGTTTCCCGAAAAGGTGCCGGAATTTAGCAAACACAGAATGCCTGGGAAAACGAGCTGACCGAAGAATCTTCGTAATCTCTCCGGCTTAAATTAATGATCGAATTCAGACGGAATCTCGTAAGTTCTAAAACAATGGTTTCGAAAAGCGAAAAACTCAAAATCTAAGTGTGTCATGAGCTGGAAAGTGAATTTCCGTGTTTTCAAAATAGTAGAGCACTGTGGGAAAGTTAGAGATAAGGCCGATTGAATTCCAAACCGTTAGGTTTTCAAAATCGAACGTTAATCTCGGATCACATTTCCCGAAACTGTTCTGTGAGTTCCATTTTGTTCGATCGGCTCGATCTTTTGTTAAACTCTTCGATTAGAATTAAATTTAAAAAACCCTGTAGATAAATTGTGTCTTTTTTTTTGCCATTCGTCTTGGGAACGAGGTTGACCCAGCCTTGGTAGCGTGCAGTTCGTAAAACGGGATAGTCCAAGAAGTTCCGATTCGTACCGCACACGCCGAGGATTAAAATTAAAACTTATTTAAGCGAACGAAAACAAGGTAAGTTATGAACTAATATATGCAAAAAGTGTATGATTGAACGTCTAAAACAAAAGGATTAGGTAACGCAGAAAAGTCCATTCAAACACACCAATGAACGCAATTGTCTCCTGTTCACCGGGTCTCCCTTTTCGAAACTGTTTATAATGGCCTATTTTCCCCTCTCTTTTCTAGTAGTCTTCTCGGAGGAAACAGGTCGCGCAAATGGAGCTTAAGTCTAGCATGATTGTGGATTGTGACGTCCCTGTACCCTAGATTTTATGAAACGCGACCAGTTCTTAAAACGAACGTCATTTCTACGGTTTGTCATCCAGTCTCCGCCGGGGGGATATATATCTTTTTCTTCTAGAAATCAGCAGGATTTAGTAAGCTGGTTTTTAAACCTGTTATTTAGGTATTTCTAAATTGGATACCTTCTATTTCTAAGGTTTTGGGTTAGAATTGAAATCGTCATGGACTAAATGATTGAGTAATCACATCGTGACTTCTAAACCAGATCCATTGTTTTCCTTATAACTTCGGTTTGTTGACACGTCCGTCAAGTGCAGTGGTTATAACCGGAATTGGGCGTTAAATTCGTGTCGCAACCTGTAGCCTAGAATCACGAGATGTAGAAACAACACTTTTAGCGTAGGACTGACCCAGGAACCATATTTGGAGAATCGCTTTCGAGTTGAATACATTTTGAAACAGATCCAACACGTGTCACTGGTTTCGCTTCACTCATACAATTTTTTTTCCTTCTGCTTATAAGCTTTTGTTCTTTACTTTTCAAATTCAGGAGAGGTTGTCACACGAGTACAAATAGTCTAGCGGAAGCCTTGTCCATAAAAGGAATTTGGCTGACGCATGAAATTAGGAACTGTGCGAATAACCAAAGGTTAATCACCTATTGTTTGCATTTTGTATAAATACCGCATAGTGTTACACTTTAGGGGCAGATCCTTGGCAACTATACTGCAAGACAGTTCCTCAACTCACAAAAGCAATCTACCTTGTTTGAACATTTCATAGAAATCTGCGTTTCACCATAAATCGGACATTTAAACCTTGCATTTGAATCGAAGTTTTCCAATATTGCTCTGATACCATCCGTAATCAAGCTGTACAACATGACAACGGCGATTTTTAAACTTCTTCTGTTGGGATTTATCAGCGAAGAAATATATGTCTACGGTGCACTTCGATCGATCGGACCAGGACAGACCTATCCAAACGCTAAAGAAATAGACACGTGTGGAAATATCAGAGACATTATCAAAAGAAATTCAGCTCGCTTTAGGAAAATCCTTGTCAGGAACACCAACAGCGAAATCGTGTTTGCCAACGACGATTGTCGACGAATGACGGCGCGAGCTAAAAGTAAGTTGGATGTATTGGGTTCCAGAGTTAAACGACAGTGGAGTAATGCAAAGCTGAAGGTGTTGTTGGCTTGGACAGATCAAATAATTCCTCAGGCGCCGATCTCGCTACATTACGAAGGTTAGTAAAAAACACAAGTTCATTCATCACTCATTTAAAGGTTGTATCATTAATTAACAATTATAAAATTTTCACATTAATGCTATATTAAACGTAACCAAGTCCGACAAATTTTAATAGCTTTAAGTATCTAGCGCAATTCAGTATGATTTTCAATGTATTTTTAATTTTACGTTCATACAACTTACTCCTCTAGCAAACACTGGGACATCGTCTTCCGTACTATTTCTCAACTGCGTTAAAAGGTCAACAGGGTATGAAACATATAGCCCACGTACATTAGCTTAAAGTTTCATTTTGACGAAACAAATTTGTAAAGGTCGTCTCAAGATTGTGCAACGACTTGACCTATGAAACATCATGAAAGATCGCAATCAGGAAAAAAAAAATTGCGGCAAGGTGTTTCACTATATGCTCAAGCTACAAATTTCGTTGTTTAGATTCCGTTGTTCAAGGACATGCAGTTTTAATGAGGAGAAAATGTATTTTTTTCCTTTGGTTTTCACTTTTTAAAAGACATTTTCTCGATCTACAGCCAAATTCTCATAACTGGCACTGAAGCAATGTACCAAAACCAGTAAGGGGAACAAGCAGTTCAATCTCAGAACATGTTTTCTTTAAAAATATGTTTAAAACTGATGCTTGACCTTGAAATAAAACTCTATATTTGAAATCAAAACCTTCTTGATTCGCTTTGTTTTTAAACAAGATTGAATTAACAAAAATGCAAATCTCAATTTTTCGAGTGGCCTTTCGAAACGTGTCTAGATGAGCGCGTGGAGGCGGATAACGGTCTCGCGAAGCGTGCGAGTTTCTCTCGTGATCATTATTATTTTTTTGTTTTTATTTTCATGCGATCGTCACACAATCCCTCTTGAGGTGGAATGATTTAGGGTCACGAGTCAAAGTCTACGTAAACACTTGTACGGCTCTCGTTGGAGATTTGAGCGTGACGCAACGGTTTCGATCTGTTCCCATTATTTTTTTGACCCTCGCATATTTTATCCTTATTGACTTTGCATCTTTCATAAAAAGAACGCCATGAAAAAACACACTGCACCCGCATTTATCTTTCAAAATAGGCTTCTCAAGAGTCAACAAAACTATGATGCAACGCAGCGTTAGTCGATGTCACGCAACGTTTTTTACCCGTTCTGTGACAAACCCAAACAGAGAGCTTTGAGAGGTGAATTGTCACTTGTATCTAGCTTTGTTTGGCCGACCAATAAATTTAAGTAACGCCCTGAATAACGTCATATATAAAGGACAGCACTGAGTTAACATTGTGATAACACAATGTACTGTCTTTAACACAAGTAACCAATTTGATGCATGACTGATTATTGACTTTTTCCTTTCAGGACGAGCCCTTCGTCTCCAGACTTCCGACGGCGACAGAAAAAAACTGTCCACTCTAGCAGGCCTGGCTGTACAGGCTGGATTTGACTGGGTTCACTACGCAACAAGTTCATACATTCATGCCAGTGTCATCCGAGATGGTAAGTTACATTGTATCATGAACTTACAAACCTTAGAATCCGAAAAGGCGAGAGCCTTTGCGTTAGTGGTAGATTTTCCTTTCGATTAAAAGTGCGCGCGATTTTTCGCCACTTTCAGTTTTGCTCAGTTTTGCTAGTTCCAAGTTTTTTTTAGCCTTATGCTCTACTCACAAGAGCGAAGAGGATGATTGAGTGAGTTGCAATTTTAAGTTCAATCAATCAATCAGTCAATCAAATTTATCATTAGGTAGTCAGATAGTTTTCGTCTTAAAATTCATTTAAGAGTTTGAGTGATAAACGACCAAGAAATTTTTGTTTCTTAAGTTTTTCTTCGAAGATGAAGTACTTTTGCATACGATGGCATTCCAAAGCTTCATTGATTTTATAATTTCTTGGCGATTCGTACACACGAAGAAATAAAACTTGTCACAAGAAATCTTCTTGCGAGCTGACATTTACTTGCTGCTCGCATGCTTGATTACTTGCTTGCTTGGGAAATAAGTTCTTTTTCCATGCTAAATTTTCCACTGTATGGGAACAAAAAGATAACCCGGCATCAAAACGCTCTGCAGAATGCACCAACAGTGTTAATATTTGTCCCTTTCTCTTTGTCTTCCCAGTTTGTCAAACGTCAGTTGATTTGGCCTTTATACTGGACGGTTCAGGCAGTGTCGGAAGCTATAACTTCAACCAAGTAAAGAACTTTGTCAAAAATGTCGTGGACTTTTTCAACATTGGTTCATCCGGGACACACGTGGCTGTCGTGACGTATTCAACATATTCAAGACTGGAGTTCAATCTAAAAGCGTATTACACGAAGTCATCGATCAAGAACGCAGTTAGCTATATTGGATACCGAGGGGGGTGGACTTATACAGCGGATGCTTTGGATTTTACACGCCAGAATATTTTCAGTAAATCTCAGGTAAGTCGGCCCATTGAGTGGAGCTCAAAACACAGTGATTTACCCTCCCTTCCCCCCTCCCTTGATCCTGGCGTAATCATTAAAAATATCGAAGTCCTGACATATGATATGCGTTTACTTTTGTTAGCGATTTTTTGGTGCTTTTTTGGGATGGGTCTTTATCGTTCTTTTCTTTCTACAAAACTTTTTTTTTTCGCAAAATGTTAGCACTTTCATTGCGCTTAATTATTGTGCTCAAAACGTTTTTCGGCGGCTATTTTCAAGGAGAGTAAGTTAATATCGTCATCAAAGAAAATACATGTCGTTTATGTTACCTGCATAAGAATAACGCCAGGAAAAATATTGTGAGTAAAACGATATGTAGTTCACAAAACAAGCTATGAAAGACGTCTAATTAAAGCAAAGGTTTTGTAAATGTAAAATCAAGGCAAACATTGTTGAGAAAGAAATCAGTCAGCGCAAGCAGCGAACAGCGAGTCCTCGCGAGCGAAGCAATCTGGCGACGGGGATTCTGGTGAAGAGGCAGCGCTCTCACATGTACTCTGCTCGCAGGCTATAATTAACGTAAATTTGTCTATCACTGACAGCTTTTTTTTTTTTTCACGCAGGGCATGCGTCCAGACCAAGGAATTCCCAAGGTGACCGTCTTGCTCACTGACGGCTACTCTAATGGGCGCGCCGTGGCCGGCCCTGCCAATCAGCTGCGTAAGCTCGGCGTGAATATCTTTTCCATTGGTGTGGGTAATTACGTCAACCCTGCGGAACTGAACGTCATTGCCTCGGATCCCGATAGCACACACGTGTTTCGAATGAACAGTTTTAATGACTTGGCTGGCTGGGTGGACAAGCTCAGTGCTGTGTCCTGCGATGGTAAGTAGAGAGCTTAAGCAATGACGACGGCGATCCCGAGGACAACGCCTGGTAGAAAATGAATTAATATATTTTATTTTCGAATTTCACAAATCTCTAGATCTTTTCCGTGCGCCTATTAGTCTCAGAACTTGCTCAAGCTAAATATGTAACGCCAGCGTTCGATTCCAAATAAAAATACGAAAAATTAGCCGCTGTCATTCGCGTTCTTCAAAATACGAAGAACCTAATTTTTTCACGTTGTTGTTGTGCAGAGAACGGCAAAGAAATGTAGAAAGATTTATAACGCACGTGCTTAGCCATTGTTTTTCTCATTAAACCTTTTGTTTGGTGGCGTTCTCGTTGTCTTTGCCGTCGTGGTTTGCTTAAAGGAGCTCAGTTACTGTAATTTGAGTTATTTTGGCCACATACAAAATTAATTACCTTTAAATGGTAGGAAACCTAAAAATAACAGTTTAACAAGAGAGAAAAACACCAAAGAGATAATGATAAACCATGAAGGAACAAGGATGGCTAAGGATGGAGAAGATTGACACGGATTACGAACGACAAACTTGAGAAATTGAGACTAAACTTTTTAATATGCGCAAACCGTGACTTAGCTCCTTTAAGGTCATTCCCCAGTATTGAATTGCGCATCCCTACTGCGTATCATTTCACGCGTGATTAGCGCGCGCGCATTAAAAAGTGGCGGCTTTTTCTTTACAGCTGGACCTCGCCATAGTGGTAAATCGTCATTTTCTCGCAAACGAATATGGTGACCTATCATTTTTTTTCTGTTGTTTTGAATTGAGTGATAAATTTCTCTGTGTAAAATAAATATGGACCAATTCTCAGTGTAGAACAAAAATCAATCGTCGGAAACGTGAATTTAGCAAGCAATCGTAACTGCAATCATGGTGCTATTATAAGGATTTATATGGGTATAAACAAGGTACTTTTGCTCCTAAACGAACATGAGGACCCTTCATTTTTATTTCAAAATATAAGTTCCTATAATATAACTAATCGACAGGCAAAGTTTCACAAAAATCTCAGTGCAGGTTCAATTTCAGCGGAATGACCTTAAGGTCTCTTGTGATACAATTTGGACGTTGGACACAACCCTTTTTAATCTTCCGTCGTCTTTTTCCTTATTATATGTACCTCTTTGCTATTTTTCTACCTTATCCTACATTAATTAACTAGGTTTCTCAGGCTTCCGTGGATTTCAATGTTATTTTTCTGAATGACCTAGGGGAACAACGTCAAAAACGAAAATTTAGTCTAGTATAGATATCTGATTATAGGCGATCCTGTCGTGTTTTCTTTAGTTTCGTTGCCTCAATACTTAATCCCATTTACATCTATTTAGTTTTAATTATGCTTATGAATATCAAAAATACTAACTTTAGCCTTGTCCTATCCTTCTTAGAGGGTGCCTCGATCTCGTCCTGTGACGATACAATCACGACTGTTGAGAGCGACACGTTTAAATATTTCAGAACTCAGTTCACTACCGTGGCGAAAAACAGAATATCTGTTGAAGTCAGGGACATCGAAGGTGAGTTACTTATCACAAGTGTATCAAGCTCACGCCTCAATGGTGGACAAAAAAAGCGATGTAATGAAACAAATTTAACAGCAAACTCTGTTTTCCAATTTCAGAAGTGTTGAACTTGGTCGCAATTTTTCTTCCTTTTTTTTGTAGGAGTCTCTCATCTCTACGCATCGTTAACCAGCACTAACCCAGGCCCCATGGACCCTGCCTCGTCCAAGAATGAAAGCAATGTCTCTCCTCGTGCCATTTCTCTGTCTCTATCTACATCGAACAAGGTAAGTCACCCAATGAAAGAGGTACTGTCACTGAATTTTGCTGAAGCTCGAATAAGTCAACTCGACTTATTACCTGTAACTCGTTAACCGTGCAATCTCGAAACCAGACCTCCATGATTATAAAAGGTAAAAATAAGAGGGGTAAGCGACTGTCTGCACACGAGGCAAGTGGCCCATTAGGCCGGAGCTTATCTCGGTTTCTGCAGTATGAAGCGACTAGGAGTATTTTTACTCCTCCTTGGATGAGATGCTAGTCCATCGCAGGGTTACCAACCAGCATTAAATTAGCCGGTACTCATTTATGCACCTGAGTAGAGAGAGGCACTGTGAGAGTAAAGTGTCATGCCCAAGACTTTAAAGCAAGCATATAAAGTTGTCATGTTTTGTGCTGCTGCGTTTTGGTCTACTTCATATCTGCAACCTGATTTGCTAACAACAAAAATAGCTCAACTTGAATTAATATGTTTGTTTAGAAATCCATATTTGTTTGTTCACAGATCGTCTATGTCGCTGTCCAAGGCCAACAACAAAGCAATAAATTCAAGCTGTCCATGTGGGATGCTCTCTTTACCAAAGACACTTACGTGACCAGTGTCACAGAAGAACAGTCTGCGCCTGTCACGGTGCTAGATACGAACCTCACACCATACGCTTACAAGTACGCTTGCTCAAATTAACAAATTGACGTCAGATTTTTATCCGTCTGTACTCTTATCGATGATAAAAATGAGCCAATCAGCGCTCGAGAAATTAGACAGTTATTGTAAAAAATGTTATGACAAAAGGACAACCACGCTTTTTAGTTGTCCTTTTTTACAAGCTCAACATTGAAGGAAATACTCCTTACTACAGCGGGTCTATAAAGTATAATTAACAAATTATCAGATTATGAGCTCAAGTATTAAATTTCACGCTCTTAGAAAAAAAAAATTATGTGGATTGAATTGCCATTTGAAATTTGTGCGCGCGTATCATTTCTTACAATCATTCCTCGGGTTTTAAAAGTCAAAAAATTGTGAAGGTCTTTCTTTTATTCTTCTCAGAAAATTGTATTACCCATTTGTTTTTAAATGATCCGCCGAAACGCTGCAAAACTGAGAAAATGTTTCTTAGATGACCTAAAATTTCGATCTTTTTTAATGCAAAAAACCGTAGATGCCGTCCTTTTAATTTTTCTCAGGAATTTTGTTTATTCCTTTGTTTCTTAATGTTCTTTCAAAACTTTAGACAAACAAAGAAACGTTGCAATTTTTTCGGCCACACCAAGCCACTGCAAACTAATTGCTAAATAGTGTTCAATGGCTCAGCCAATCAGATAACGGCATTTGCATTAGTATACTAGTAGAATTCTACTGAGAGCTGATAGTGTACGCTCTTTCAGCCAATTAGATTGTAGCCTTGCATTAGTATACGAGTAGAATTCTACTTATACATGATAGTATTGTACCTTGTTTTACATTCTTTATTTATTAACCATAAATAATACGAACTAATATATTCAAATTTCTTTCTTTTTCTAATAAGGCTCAAGTACAGCATAGTTGAGGGGAACCCGGGATGTTTTACAATTGACCCAGACACTGGAACAATCAGAACAACAAAGACTTTAGACCGCGAGACACGGGAATCGTACCGCTTAACAGTTCTTGGGCAGAACACACAAAACCGCTGCCACAAAGGTCGCGCTGTTGTTCTTGTTAACGTAGGCGATATTAACGACCATGCGCCCGCCTTCGACCTCGCCCAGTATTCAGCCACTGTACTAGAGGAAAAACCCAGCGGTACCTTTGTTGCCACGGTTACTGCCACTGACAAAGATACTGGTACCAACGCTCAGCTTACTTACAGCATTACGTCAGGAAATGACGGTAACAGATTCACCATTGACAGCAAAGGGGAAGTCAGAACTACTCAAATGTTAAACTTTGAAGCCAAAAGTAAATACACTCTGGAAATTAAGGTTCAAGATGGCGGACAGCCTCCTAAGAGCGACACTGCCACACTTGCAGTCATTGTGCAAGATGTAAACGAGCCTCCGTATTTTATGGAAGCCTGCGCACGTAACAACACTTGTAAATACACGGTGGCGGAAAATAACAACCGTAACGCCCAGCTGGGCGTGATACAAGCCCAAGATCCCGACACGAGCTGTAGCTCTTTAACTTACAAGATCACCACAGAACAGTCGCAGAACACAAAAGTTTTCGCAATTAGTAACAGTGGACAAATCTCAGTTCTTTCAAAATTGGACCGCGAATTTAAATCGCACTACACTGCAGTTATCACGGTTCAGGACTGCGGAAAGCCAGCGCTAAAGGTATCGACACGAATACAAGTCGAGGTCCTTGATGTTAATGACGAGAGCCCAACATTCGCTTTCAAGTCATACAAGGCTTCTGCGCACGAAAACATTGCTGTGGCAAGTACCGTCCTGCAAGTTTCTGCCTCTGGTGTGTCTCTTGTTTTATTTTTAATCCATCTATTTATTTATGTGTTTGTTTGTTGTTTGTTTGTTTGTTTGTTTTTTGGTTGCTGTTATGTAAGGTTTCCGCGCTGATCATCGTGTCCAGCGGTCCTTTTTCGAGCCTGGCAGGGGCCATTGTGTTGTGTTCTTTGGCAAGACACTATACGCTTATAAGGTGTATAAAGGATACAGGTGAAATAAATCAGTCCGGGGGAGGGAAGGGGACTGTAACCCTACGGTGTAACCTCAAGAGGAAGTAAAAATACTCGTAGTTGCTTCATGCTACGGAAACCGCAGATAATCCCCGGCCTAAATGGGCCAGAACGCTTTGTTCCGCAGTAGTTTTGGGGGTTTGAAGCAATGCTTTACTCAAGAACGGCCACAATGCCTCAAACAATTTTTTTGTAATATCGACTGTTTCTTTCAGATGCCGACACAGGAACGAACTCCGAGCTGTCCTACAGTTTAGAATCTGGCGACGTGGCCGCATTTTCAATCGATCAAAAGACTGGAACTATCTCGAGTAAAAAGACGTTTGACAGAGAAACCAAAGCATCGTACAGCCTAACTGTGCGCGTCACTGATCATGGGCAAAGCCCGCTTCACGACACGACCACGGTGGATATTACAATCTTAGATATTAACGATAACAGCCCTAAAATCAACAACTTACCGGCGACAGAACAAGTGACTGAAGGGAAGAATATTGGGGATACTTTATTCACTGTCTCTGCGTCAGATAAGGATCAAGGTTAGTAAACAGTACTTAAAGTTCAAAGTGGCGCTGAGGTGTTTTGAAAAGTTTCTTACTCGAAGAGTTTGTTTTAGTCTCCATAAGCGTCCTCCCCACCAGTTTTCATATCGTCGAGCGATCTCACGTTTCCCGTTAGTTTGTGGAGGGAAAGCCCTCGACGAGTCCAAAAACGGGTGCATATGAAGCCATTTTGTCAAGACCGAGGCGGGGGGTGGGAGGGTGTTGCAGTCAAAGAAATCAACGCCTTTACAATAATGCAGAACTTTTTCTATGTTTGGCCGCTAGTGCTCACAACTAACTAAAACAACTGCTTTTTTATGCTTTCCTAAATTGATGGCAACGCTTGTGGGAATTTTGGACACTGGAATGTTATAGAACTCTGTGGTCGATGTTCCAGCTTTCTTCCAGTCTTTTTCTCAAGTGATTCCATTGGGGCTCTTACGTAATTACCTCAGGGCTCTCACGTGATTATATCAGGGTTCTCACGTGATTTCATCAGACTTCCCACGTGATTACATCAATTCTTGTAAAAGCATACACCGTTCCCTACCTCTCAAATAATCCGCCTATTTTTCCAGTTTTAACTTTTTCCCTTTGTCTTAGTTTTTTTCTTTGGTCTTTCTTACACACAGAGAGTAATTTTGTGTCTTGCAGGTGTAAATGCTGCTCTGCGATATTACATAGACACAGGGAATGGACAGAACTCGTTCAATCTTGAGGCAAAAACAGGCGCTTTAACGCTCGCCCGCAAACTGGATTACGAAACAAGGTAAGGATCAGATACCATTTTCAGGTCGAATATAGCCACGGATATCTAAGACAAAGCTTCGTATGGGTGTCTAGATTTAGTCTAAGGAAATCGCAAGATAGAGATGGGCAGAAAGAGGGGCACGTCGCCGAAAGGGAGGGGGCAGGGTGGGGGTAAAAATAAGGTATCAATTATACGACTGGTTAACTTAAATAGCGTAAGAGGCAAATCAAAGAGTATTTATGCACATAGATATATAGGCGAGTGATGCCTGGTCTGAAGCCCTGAGGGTCGTTATGAACCTATATGCACCGAGGTAATGGGAGCAGCGTACAGGAAAGTTTCAATACCTTTCGTCATGAAAAAATGGTATATAAATGAAATTACAATAATTAATGAAACTCTCTTACCAAGTCGCCGACTGACCGTTAAGGGTCAAGAAGACACAAAATGTTGAAGACCATGTTAGAACACAACGAATACAAATTGTTCTAGGAGTACTCACAAGGAACGAAAGTTGCAACAGACGCATAGAAGAATGACCGATTCTGGACAAAAAAATATTTGCGAGCCCATGTAAGATAATTTAGAATAAGTGGGCATTAGATTCACACAAAATGCACCTCACCTGCGCTGTGTGAATTAGTTTAATTTAGTCTCTACTGTTTTATGTGAAGCATTCAATAACGTCGGTGCATTGCTTCAGCTAAAAACTCCCGCCATGTAATACTCATTGTTTTCCCTACAGGACTAGCTATACACTCAACATCCGGGTAACAGACAGAGGAAACCCGCCCCTGTCTTCCTCCGCTCAGCTCCAAATCCAAGTCCAAGACGAGAACGACAATACGCCAGTGTTTAGCATGTCATCATATCGAGCGACAGTGCAAGAAAATACAGCAAAAGGAAAATCTTTCTTTAAGGTATACTGGATCCAAGCTCCAACTGCCTCTAGATTTAAAATTTACGATGCAATCGATCCTCTCTACAACGGCCACCTAAGAGAGGTGGCCGTTTGTGGAGGTTTTACTGTATCTTTTAAAACTCAAAGTTCCAATGGTTATCTTCAACTTCAAGTAAAACGCACTCTTTACTTCGTAGTTATTAGGCAGTGGTTTTCGTGTCAAATTATTTGATAATGTCGTTTTTGGTGGATTGCCGGGTGAAAAGGAAATACGTAAATTAAGAATGTAAATGTTTTTGTCAGGTTGAAATAACTTTAACCATAGTTAATAGAGCGAAATAGTGAGGAAACATGGCAAAATTCTTTGTTGTATGTTTTTGTTTGCTTTTTTGGGAACTGACCCTGCACAAAACCTGGTAAAATACAAAAGGTGGCTATCTGTTCTCATACAACTAGCCAACAGAAGTATTGCGATTATGTAATTTGTGCATAGTCAATCAGCGTGCATAAAACAAAAGATGTGCAGGGTCAGGGACCTTCAACATAAATCTTAGCCTGTTTCTTTGCTTCTTTGATGTTTACCGACCTTCCTAACCATTTTACTCTTTGACTATGCTTTAGCTAAACGAGCAAACATTCTGTTTCAGGTAACAGCTACAGATTTAGATTCTGGATCAAACGGAGAAATTTCGTATAATATCGACAAAGGCGACACTGGAGATGCTTTTGAAATCGATGGAAAAGGTAATCACATGGCAATATTAAGTCCTGTTTTTCTGTTTGTCCTTAAGGGGTGGTTTGTCTCGCAAATTTGTTCCCCTACGAGTCAATGTAGCGTTCATTTCGGTTAGAAAACACTCCGAGAAAAAGACCTCGTTTATTTCTGTGATAAAAATTCTCTTTACTCGCGCGTTCATAACCCGTTTTCACATGACGTCACGGCAGCCATATTGGTGTTCCAAAACAATGAAACCGTGGCCATGTTGGTGTACCAAACCAATCCTGAGGGAATTGAACTATTTTCTTGTACAAACACTTTCTTTATGTTCCAATAAATGTGCCTGTGTGCTGGCCACGTGAGTGAAAACTCTTTCACCAGCATCTCATGATGCACAATTCGTAGCCCGTGATTAATATAATACGTACGTAGACATAAACACCATCCTCAGGCTTATTTTCCATTTCCTTCTCGCTGTTTGTCATCTCGAACTGGAAACCCACGTGATCAATAGGTNCCCCCCCCCGCAACCCCTCTCCTCGCGCGCGCGCTGGATGTGAATAAAATTAAGTAAGTATGGTTGTTTTTTCTAGGCAACCTGCTGATCAAAACTTCGCCTGACTTTGAGACCAAGGCACAATACGACTTGATTGTGAATGCATCGGACAATGGAAAACCCGCAAAGTCAGCTTTAGCGACAGTGAAGGTTACGATTGAAGACGTGAATGACCATGAGCCCGCGTTCAATCAGTCCAGTTACAGCTTTACTGTCAGCGAAGGAGTTGATTTGCGGGGGAGGGTTGGGGAAGTGTATGCGACAGATATGGACTCGGGACCCAGAGGCAGAGTGGTGTACTCCATTACAGGTGGTAATGTCGGCAAAGCATTCTCCATTGACGGAAATACAGGTCAGTGCTACCTCAGATGCAATAAACACAATAGAGAACTCTCAGTCAGGTTTAAATGAAGTATTCAGTGACAGAAGAACCACGTACAGTATTTTCAAATATCACGAGGGCTCGTGCAATTTTGAGAGAATTTTCAAATATCACTCGTGGTATAAATTCTTAATTGCACTCCCATTCATTCGATTACCTAGATTAATAGTGGTAAATTTAACTTTAGAACAGTCTGTCCACAGGCGTTTACTTTTTTTGCCATCTTTACCCAATCCCACCCCCTTGTATCCCACGCGCCGGGTTAATATTTCGCTAAGCTTGCGATCTCGACGAACTCAAGACACAATAGAGGTTTTGTGGACAGACTAACCGTGGACAAAACCATATAAAAGCTTAGTGGATACATGCTGTCGATTGCAAGATTTCGTTAAAATTATTTGCAAGCTCGGTAATTCTAGGCTTCAACTTAACTCCCCAAATAGCAGAGATCATAAATTGATCGCTGTTCTTTGTTTGATTTTTTTTCTTACTTCACTTCCTCTCAGGCGTTATCAGTGTCCTATCAAAACTCGATAGGGAAAGCAGGGATCTTTATACTCTCAATGTGGAAGCTCGTGATGGTGGAAATCCGTCGAAAGATTCTGTCGTGGATGTTAAAATAACGATTACAGATGTCAACGACAACAAACCTCTCTTTGACAAACCGAGCTACAGCGCGTCCATTGACGAGGACGCAGCTCCAGGCACGTCTGTGGAAAAAGTGTTCGCTACAGATAACGACATGGGTAAAAATAAGGAGATAACTTACATAATCAAGACCGGTAATGAAGAAGGCAAGTTTAACCTGAATGATAACACCGGTGAAATAACTCTTAATCAGACCCTTGATCACGAGACGAAGACTTCTTACGCTCTTGTTGTGACCGCAAGTGATCATGGAAGCCCTCCTTTGACGTCATCGGTTGATGTCATGGTGACAGTCAATGACGTTAATGACAACGCGCCGTTGTTTCCAAAGTCACTGTATAACTGCACTGTTGCTGAAAACTTGGCCAGCGGTGTTGCTGTGTGTTACGTCACCGCTAGTGATGCAGACTCTGGTGCGAATGGTCAGCTGTTTTACTCTATCGTAACAGGCGATACTGGCAAAGCTTTCGGGATAAATACGGTGAGTTGAATAGAAATTATAAGAGATTTCAACGTAAATTCTGAAAAGGGTTTCCTCATTTACCCTAGAAATCACGTGATTTGTCGTCGAAACACTATGATTTAATACCGAAATATTCAATATTTAAATTATTAATTTAAATATGGCATTTATAAAACCCGCTATCAAATTTAATTTTCGATATTATTCTTTTCACGCCATAAACATCATTTGTGATTTATGACTATTCGTCCCTGTTGATTGTTCTTTGTTACTGTTTGCTCGTTTTTTCATCGTTCGTTTGTTCGTTGGTGGTTGGTCGTCGTTCGTAATTTCACTCGTCGCTCGATCCTCGTTCGTCGTTCCTTAGTTCGTTTTTCTTTGTACGTTTTCCTTTGTTCACTTCTTTGTTATTTATTCTAGCTCGTTCGTCAGTGATCGTCGGTCGTTGTTCTTTTGTTCGTTACTCGTTTGTTCACTGTTCGTTTTTCGTCGTTTTTTCATTCTAAATTATTCTGTATGCTTGTTCGTTATTTCTTCTTTGTTATTTCTTTCCAATCCATGAATAGTTCAAAACTGTCTTTCCTTAGGGCACGGGAGAAATAACCACCGACCGTACATTGGACAGAGAGACCATTTCTGTGTACAACTTGACAGTTAAGGCACAGGACGGGCTGTCGAGAGCTGACAAGTCTTCATTTAGTGCTACAACGTCCGTGGTAGTCTATATTCTGGACGAAAATGATAACGTACCGATATTTAACCAGTCCATGTACACATTTCACGTTCTAGAAAACGCAGCGAAGTTTCATGTAGTTGGTTTAGTGACAGCGACAGATAAAGATGCCGGGCTTAACGGAATGGTAACTTATCGCATTTCCGCGGGAAATTCCCGTGACAGGTGAGACTGAAGCAGTGATTTTCAACCTCGTGGAATTTCCCCTTCGCCTTTTATCTCACTCTCTTAATCTTGACTTCGTTAAGCATAAACCGTAGTTTTAGCGTTGGACTCAATCCCAAGATTCATCAACGAAGTGTTTCAAGCGTTGGAGGTTTACATAATTAAATCGCAGGCACACAAACCGTTGAAAAACGTGCAAAATAAAATAAAAACCCCATTGATAAGGGAAAACGATAAACGAGGAGACAACTAGACTGAAAAAACGCCCGTCTTTCCATTCTCGCTTTCTTGAATATTTTACAGGTTTTACTTTGTTCTGTTTTGTTTGTTATTTTTGTGTCTGCTCACCAGTTCATTTTGCCCTGAGAGTACGCAACAGGCTACATATGAACACTCCAATTTTGCACTGAGCATGGACGCTGCTAGAAGACATGTTTTCGATGACCCTTTATTTCATGTTTTCATACAAACTACATGACTGTCAGGCTGAGCATGCTAAGATGTCATAAACAAAGCTTTATTGCAGCCAACTTCATCAGTTTTAAGACCGTAAATTAACTGCGTGGAGATGAAATGTCAAGGAGAAGCAAAAAGGAGAAGCATGTTCAGCCAAACGCCTCCATTTCTGTATTAACTTTGTTATTATTTTCCTCTTTCCAGTTTTAAGATCAATCCTTCGTCTGGTGTGATTACAGTTAAATCAGCACTAGACCGCGAAGTCCAGGCAGAGTTTTCTCTTACAGTGGTAGCAAAGGACTCTGGGACGCCCTCGTTGTCGGCCAGCGTGGTTGTCAAGGTGATAATTGATGACGTCAATGATAACGCGCCCGTGTTCAGTCAGCAGATGTTTTATGGCAGCATAAGTGAGGATGCCTCGTCTGGTTCTACGGTCCTTAAGGTAAGCAGTTGTTATTAAAGATCACTATAAAGAATGAGAACTAGATAATTATGAAATATCAAAAGAGACCAATTAATCCAAATGTGGTTGAAACTCTTAAGTCTGTGGATGAAACCCTAGTGTGTGACCATTCAACTGAAGGCTACTGAGTAGTACTTTCATGTGGCACTGTTGCACTGTACCGTTCAAGGTGGTTCTAACTTTTTTCAAAGTCTTTGGCTGAAACCCTGGTTGTGATCATTCAAAGGAAAGGTATTGAGCAGTGTTCTCATGTAGTACTGTTTGTAATGTTATAAAAAGTGACGATAAAATGACAATTTTGTGACTATATAAGTTGTATTGAGTGTGAACTATTTGACGACTGAAAAAGCTAAGAGAGATATCATTTCTTTTGTAGGTGGAGGCAAAGGATGACGATGAAGGAACTAATGGTCAGTTGCAGTTTGATCTCCAAGGAAAGGGCAGAGATAATTTCACTATCGATTCACGCGGATTCATTCACACCGCCACACCCTTGGACTACGAAAAGACCAGTTCCTATATCCTTACTGTCACTGCAAAGGATGGTGGATCTCCAGCGAACTCGGCATCTGCGCAAGTCAACATCACTGTCTTAAACGTTGACGACAATGTTCCTGTTTTCCAGACCTCCTCACAAGTGTCGAAGATCCGCGAAGACGTTGCCGTGGGTACACGCGTTGTACGCCTAAACGCGACAGACGCCGATGGAAATGAGCTGAAGTTTGATATATTGCGTGGAAATAAGGGTGGGGCTTTTGAAATTCATAATAAAAGTGGACTCATAACGGTTGCGGCAAAGCTTGATCGTGAAACAACTGAAAAGTACATTTTGGCTGTGGAAGCTGCTGATACGGGCTTTAAATCCGTTACCCACAATGCAACTATCCAGGTTATTGACGTGAATGATAATGCACCGGAATTCACACAAGCGAGTTATTCCAAGAATATCATGGAAAACCTTCCATCAGGTATGACATTTGTTTGTACCATTTTATCCGAACAGCGATCATGGTAACCTTAGAGGTCTTACTTAGCAGCTCTCACTAACATCAGTGGAAACTGTTTACCGATCATAACAAATAAACAAACTGATTTTAGGAGGTTGGAGGGGTGGGGGGGGATGTCAATTCAAAGGAGCTGTGTCAATGCGTCAAATCGAAAGAACCCTCCAAAAAAAAAACGAAAGGGGTATTTATAAAACAAAAGTAACAAGGATTGTCTAAGATCGAGGGAGATTGGAATGACCCCGTGACATAATGTCTTTAGTCTCGAGGATGACCAAAATCAAATTTCTCCCTGTAATATCGATACATACTCTATCACTCGGGTCGTGAGAATTCACCAAGTGATCGCTTTTGGGAAATGCTCTTGACAGTCTTGACAGTCGAATTATTTTAAATATTAGCTGTAAAAATGTATCGAGGCCATTAGGAGGAAAGTTATTTTGACCATCGGACTAAGAGTGTTTTAACAAAAGAGTCGATTTCCCTTAGTTATTTCAAATCTGCTAATGTTCTGTTCTTTTATTGGTTCTTCATTAACATCTTACAAAATCCTCCAAAAGTTATGAAACGATTATTGGACATATATACGTCATGATTTTAATGCTGCATGGAGTCTGCAACTGTGTCAATGAAATATAGACTATTTATTAGCTTAATAAATATTTTGGGTGTTTTATTGTATTTTAACAGGGCAGCCGATTGCTAACGTTACTGCAACGGATAAAGACAAAGGCGTGAACTCACTTGTCAGCTACAAGATAACATCAGGCGATAGCAAGAAGTTTACAATTGACTCCAAAACCGGAGTTATAACTTCGTCTGAGAAGCTAGACCGCGAAGAAGCCGTGTCTTATAACCTGGTGATTACCGCGAGAGACCATGGAACACCCTCGCTGTCATCCACAGTGTTAGTATCTGTAAAGGTTCTTGATGAAAATGACAACGCGCCAAAATTCTCGCTCCCTTTCTACCAGGCGTCCGTTCTTGAAAACACCGCCATCAACACAAACATTCTTCGTGTGACGGCCACAGATCCGGACGATGGTACTAACGGACTTGTCACCTTCTCGATTGTATCCGGGAACACAGACGACGCATTTGCGATAGATAACTCCACCGGATTTCTATGTGTCAAGCAAAATCTTGACCGAGAAGCTGTCGCTTTCTACAGTTTGCTCATCAGCGCGTCAGACAATGCTCCGAAACCAAAAAGCGACTTTGTCCGTGTCAATTTCACAGTCCTGGACGAAAACGACAACAGCCCCATATTTGTCAATGTGGCAAACTTTACCATTGTGGAAAATTCCGCTTTAGGTACCAATGTGGGCTCAATTTCTGCAACAGATTCTGATGGTGGTAGTAATGGTCAAGTACGCTACTCAATAGTGAAAGGCAATAAAGATGATGTGTTCCAGGTAAACCCAATTTCTGGCAAGATAACGGTCAATGGGAAAATCGATCGAGAGAAAATGGCCAGTTATACACTGACGTTAATGGCATCCGACCAAGGGAAACCAGCAATGAAAACCGAAAAGGACTTCTTTATTACTGTTGAAGACCAAAATGATAATCCACCTGAATTTGATGCTCAAGAATTCCGAGGTTTGTATGCGTTTGATGTTCTTCAAATGTAGTTCGCGATTTCCTTATCTTCCAAAGTCAAACGTAAGCTCGTTTCAAACGTATTTAAATTGTTAAGTTTCTTAACTACCACGTGACAACATGCTGCCACTTGACAATGTGGCTGGTTTTACAGAATACATTAAAGTATATGTGAGGAGTTTTCTTAGAAACGAAAACTTGCTGTCGAATTTTTGAACTGAGTCTAATCAGAGAAAATGGTTTAAAATTTGCTCTGACGCTCGTGAATGTAATGTTTCTTTTATTTGTCACAAATTTTGTGGGGCGAAAAACTTTATTGTCACTGAATTTTATGTCTGATCTCTTTACTAAAATGTTATTACTTAGAAATTTTCTAAACTGCTATATGAGTCACATTGTAAAATGCTAATTACATGTACGCATGCTTCTGTTTTCAGGTTCAGTCAAGGAGAACATCCCTGCCGTTTCCAACGTTGTTCAAGTGAAAGCAAGTGATAAAGACGCTGGCCTCAATGCAGTCATCAGTTACAGTATCACAGCAGGGAACTCTATGTCATACTTCGTTATAGACTCACAAACCGGTAACATTAACGCAACGAGCTCAATAGACTTTGAGAAGACGCCTTCATTTAATTTAACCGTTTCTGCCACAGATTCCAAATTCGACTCGTTCGCCCAGGTGATCATTGAGATCATCAATGAGAACGATAACAAACCTTCCTTTAAACAAGCAAATTACATGGCAAGTGTTGCAGAAAATTCCGCTGCCTTGACATCTGTCATCACAGTCGCTGCCTTGGACGTCGATCCTTTCGGTCAGCTGACATACTCTATAGAATCGGTTCAACCAGGTAACCATAGTGACGCATTCAGCGTAGATTTAGCCACGGGGCTGATCACCACCGCTGATGTACTGGACCGAGAAATGATTGACAGATATGTCATCACTGTAAGGGTGATTGACGGTGGAGAACCGGCTCTAACTGGTTTTGCTACTGTCGCGGTAAACGTGACAGACAAGAATGACAACCCACCCGTTTTCAACGCCTCTTCTCTCAAGACTGTCGTTTCTGAAGCATCAGCTATTTCATCCTTTGTTACACAGATCAGTGCTCTCGATGCAGATTCTGGGAGCAATGCCAGAATTTCTTACAGAATAAGCTCTGGTAATGACATGTCCGCCTTTGTGATCGCCCCCGACTCTGGTATTATAAGAACCAATGCAAAACTTGACAGAGAGACTGTTCCAGACTATGCCTTAACATGCGAGGCCATTGACCATGGACAGCCGCAGCGCAGCTCAATGCCAATCATCGTCCACGTGACGGTATCAGATGTAAACGACAACGCACCCATATTTGGACAGTCCGTGTACGTTGTCAACGTGACTGAAGACGTGACATCCGGGACTGTCGTAAAGGAAATGCATGCCATAGATAGTGATGCCGGACTTAATGGAGTGGTTATTTACAGTATTACAGCCGGAAATGACGATAGCTCGTTTGATATTGGTAACGGAACGGGTAAGTGTTGCAAGTGATGTGACACGTTTGTTAAAAAAGCTCAGTCACGCTTCTGTCAAGTTCGTCGGTTGTAACTCGTGTTAATCTTCTCCATCCTTAACCATCCTTGTTCCTTTATGGTTTATTATTATGTCTTTGTTTGTTTTTTTGTTTGTTTTTTCTATTTTAGTAAACTACTATTTTCAGGTTTTCTTCAAATTAAACGTAATTTTGTTCGGGGCCAAAATGACTCAAAAACAAAAAACCGTGACTGTGCAATGCAGTCATTTGGGTCTAAGTGGGTACGCTTGGCGCGGAACAAGTTTCACCACTTTCCTGAAAGGAAACCTCTTTGGTTATGAATTTGCTTTCAAAGGTTTGATGCTAATGAAGAACAATAGGTCGAGCGCTGGGTGATATCTTGATATTTTCAACACTCGGCCTCTGTTCAACCAAGTGTTTTAATGGGTAACAGGGCGGGGAGGGTGGGGGAGGGAAAGTTACCGTGTAATAGACCAGCATCCCACTCAAGGGGAGCGATCAGATCTCTCAACTCACTTCATGTATCCCACAACTCAACCTACCTCATTTCGTTCCTCTCCTCATCTTATGTCACTTCCTTACCTAACCCTGCATTCTTGTTTCAGGTGTTGTTACCGTCTCTAAAGGCGTGGACCGGGAAAGGCGTGACTCTTACACATTAACTATCACAGCAAGTGATTTAGGGAGTCCACAGCAAAGCACATCTGTACAACTGAAAATCACGGTTAACGACGCTAACGACAACAGACCGCTGTTTAATACGTCCTCTCTTCAGGGCGCCATCTTGGAAAATTCCCCCGCCGGAAGCTCTGTCATGCGCATTATTGCCACAGACGCTGATGTCGGAATGAACGCGCAGCTGGAGTTTAACTTCACTACAATTGAGTACTCTGACGTTTTCTCTCTAAATCCAACAACCGGAGAAGTCACAGCGCTGAAGCCACTTGACCGAGAAAAGCAAGATCACTACACGTTGAAAATCAGCGTCAGCGATCATGGAGATCCGCGGCTGTCGTCATCAGCTGACGTCACGATCAACGTCATTGATGTTGATGACAACTGTCCCAAGTTTCAGCCAGCGGTGTATAATAAAAGCATTAGTGAGAATTTACCGTTCAATCAGAGCATAATCCAAGTGACGGCTACTGATGTCGATGTAAAAGATAATGAAAAGATGATGTATGCAATTTGGAGTGGAAACCAGGGAGGTGCATTTACCATTGACAGAAACGGTAAGGGAACTTGGTTGAATATCTTCGGTTCGACTGGTTTTCCTTCAAGCTGGATGATTCTGTGTTGTTTAGATTGGTAATCAAATCAATTTAAATTTGAAACCGTCGAAAATACCTGCCAGAAAAACAGGGTCTCCATGACAAAATTATTTCTGGTATAACGAAAAAGTCGTATGGCTTGAATTCCGAAGGTCGCGGGTTCATGTTCCACTCTGACCGCTAAGCTGGAGTTTTTTCTCGGTAAATCCTAGTTCAATTCCTCGGTCATGCTTTTAAATAGCTAACTGGTCTGTCTTCCTCCAGTTGAGATATTTCAGCCTATCTCATTTGTCTGAAATACTTCTTTCTTTCAGTTTAAGTGGCATTCCTAAGAATTAGCTGGTTGTAGCGAAACGTATCGACCACTATAAGCCTTCAACATTTAAAATTGTTAACATTTTTTAACATTCAAACCGGCTATTTTGACAGACTTTTCCATCACGCGTATGTGACGCACATCCATTACCCTCTTCTCTTCATCTCAACGCGTCCCTGTTCTTTTCTACCTTGGCTATCAAAAACATCGAAATCTGTATAAGGTAAATAACTACGAGTTGGCTCTCTCTTTGTTCCAGGTTTCCTGAGGGTGAGCTCGGCTGGAGTTGACCGAGAAGTGACCGACACTTTCCGACTTGTGGTCCGCGCAGGTCGCCAAGACTGTGGTGTAAACAACACAGATGGAGACGACAACCAGGGTAAGACAGACAAAGATAATTATGTAAAGAAAACTTGGGATATAGCGGCGTAATTTCTAATAAGGTTGTGGGTGGGGTTGCCCAGATAAAAATCCAATACCCACTGGTATTCTTGGATGGTAAGCAGCGCTGTGAAGAATTAATTTGTCTAGTTGGTGCGCCCGACACAAAGGATGTAATCTCTGTAACTCGATCGTATAGATCGATTCATTAGTCGTTACCACCAAAACGCTATCTCCTCCGCAGAGGCTCCCTAGGGTAGGGGGCAGTGAATTGGGAGAGGGATGATGGAAAGTGGGAGAGGCTCTCTCTCCCCTTCCGGGCGTTCCCCGTGTGCTTCCATTATTTCCTCTCCCCAGCCTCCGAACTACCAGCCTACTGGGTCAAAGCAGCAACAATGAGGCCTCTGACGAGAAGAGAGACCCTAACAGATGAAATTAATTAGTGACATTGTTTGTTTGTTTCTTAACAGCCGAGGGAGGATCCGAGGACAAGTTAGCTTCCACTGCTATCGTCAACCTTATAGTAACCGATGAAAACGATAACCCTCCTCGCTTCAAGTTTCCTTCGTATGAATTCGAGCTCGATGGTCTCAACGACACCGACATCGGCCGAGTTACAGCGATCGATGACGATCTAGGCTCGGGCGGGATCGTGAAATTCCGACTTCTCGGACAGACTGAGGTGAGGAATTTTCTGTTTAAGGTTTGGTAATAGCGTTATTAATTATAATTGCGTCACTAAACATTGTCGGGAGCCCATCACTAGTGATGGGCTACTGACATTGGAGGATTTTCATAATTTCGAGTTAAAGGTCTTTTAAAATTTTTTTTAATGTTATGAATTGAAAATTCTAACAAAATGAAGGAAACTCATCAAATGTGTTTAAGGTACTGATTTGCAAACAAAGAAGACGTTTTGTAAAACTAGCGTGACCCAGCGTGACAGTGCTTACTAGCTTGACCTTCTTATAGAACATTTGTAGTGTGAGAGTTCTCGCGTTAATGAATTCCGTTTACTCTGATTTCAGGTTGCGAAAAAGTGGAAAGTGACTGTTCAAGCTTACGACTTAGGAACTCCAAGTCTGAACAGCTCGATTGACGTCATAATCGCATCAAGGTATGCAGAGAAATTGCTTTTGTCTTTCTTTGTGATTTTGAAGTTTCAGAAGCAGTAAACAGTCATTGACATTATCACCCTGTACTTTATTTCTTTCCTAGGGCATGACATCATGCTCTTTTTTTTTACCAACATGATACACGTATCAAAAAGTACACGTCTCCTTTGTCCTTCTCTCCTTATCCCTTACCTTCCCCCTCCCTCCCTCCCTCCCTCCCTCCCTCCCTAACTCTTTCTTTTCTTCACTCTATCCTCTCTCCCTCCTTTAGGCATCCAGTCTTTCTACCTTTTACTCTCAGCTTTAAATAGGTAGTTAAGAATATGAAGTCTCGTACAGATCCCCTATTTCTAATCTTCATCCTTTATTGTCCTAATTAACACAAGAAACAGAGTAAAGTAAAGGGTTCTCGCAGTTGTAGTCAAATGACGCCACCATGCAAATCGCCTATTGTGCAACTGATTGCATGTTACCTCCCAAATGAATCATCACGTGACCTGAATAGGGTGCTAACAAGGACGTTAACAAGTTAGGTAAATCCGTTCATAGCATGCTATTAATATCATTCCTTGTACTCTTTTTTCTGTTTTCAGGATTACTTGTGAGGCGATGGTGTTTAACATCACTGAAGATGGTTTAATAACGGCCGACACTTTGTGTGATTTCGTGGAATTTCCGAGAGGAGCAACGCATCTTGTGGGCGACAAATATCAAGTGAGAGCTTTGATTAACTTAAATGTTTGCCAATTTTCATGGGCAAATGTGTTAATTGTGTACTTGATTTTACAGCTGAAATGTTCTGCCAAGGGTAACACGAAACCTCAATATCGCTGGATGAAAGACGGTCGCTTTGTCTCCAACTGGAATGATTTCGGTGATTACGTCATGGAACACGTGACCGAGGAACACCAAGGTGGCTACTCTTGCCTGGCTTCAAGTTCAGCTGGTTTGTTACAGTCTAGCGTGGCTTACATGACAGTGAATGGTGAGAAGAGACTTCTTGTGGCACTTGCGTCTTCATTAGATCGAACGAATCAGTCAGTCAGTTAGTCTGTCAATTATTTAGTTAAGTCAACAATTAATCAATCATTTATTATCTCTTTTAACCCCCTCCCCTAACATCAAACCCCTAATTCTCTTTTCACTCTACCTTTACAGTTGTGTTCGTTCAGAGAATTTGGAAGTACATAATAAAGTCAATACTTTGTTCATTCTCAACTCTTGCTTACTTAACAATGTACTGACAGTGATTTACAGTGAAGTATCCGCGTGTTACAAACCAATGTAGGTCCGTATGGCGTGTAAAGATCAATGCATCGGATCGCACGGTACTTAGCGGTTTTACTCTTGTCTCTCGTTATAGATCCACCAAAAATCGCGACTCACCCAAGTAACAGTAGTGTGGAGCTCGGTGGTGAGGTGACACTGGCGTGCAGGGCATCTGGAGACCCGCTGCCGACATTTAAATGGTACAAGGACAACATCCCGATGGTGGAAACAGACGATATAAATCCTTTTGTGCCGGAGCTTGTTCTGAAAGACGCCCTCGCTCAGGACGAAGCTTGGTATTTGTGTGAAGCTACCAATGTGGCTGGTACAGTGAGATCCAACTCGGCTTCACTAAAAGTGTTTGGTGAGCAGCAGAATAAAATGCTTATTTGTTAATGCATCGTTTCTTGCCAAGTGAGATCAAGTGACGCTAGTCTCGCTGATGATTTTCGGTAGAGATTAATGGGAAGGAGAAAGACTCGGTTGATTAAAACTGCTCTGACTAATCATGTTCAAATTCTGAAATCTGTATAAGTTTCCAAACCAAAAATAAGTCACATCTGTTTCTTTGCGGTCGTATGCAGTCCTGCCCAAGGTTTTAATCATGAACACTGACCGCCCAAACAGCATTTAAATTAATTTCATTGATTGTTTTTCTTTTTGTGCGTTTTTAGGCAAAAAGGCACTGGTTTCTATGACGCTGTCTGTGACAAAACTGAATCGAGAAGGAACATGTCATGTATTTGACATCAAAGAGTTTAAAGTAAGCAAGAAGTGTTATTGATGCAATTGAGCCTCCAGACAAAGCTGTGCTTATTAAGATTCGTTGTTACTGACTTGGCTGCCTTTTGTTTCATTACCAGAAACTCCTAAGCAGAGCATTAAACGCTAACGTGGAGATAACCGGTTTCTCGGCTCCCAAGAGGTGTGAGGAACACCCTTGTAATTCAAATCCGTGTAAAAATGGCGCTGTTTGCTCCAAAGAGGGTTCTCAGTACGATTGCTTGTGTAAACCGGGATGGTCTGGAGACCATTGTGAACTGGATTACGATGAATGTAGTGGAGGTAGGTTTTCCTAACTTTAGAAAAAAAAAATCATTTATATGAACTACAAAATTGAAAGAACTCGCGCTACACTCTCTTTTGTAGGGGCCGTTCTTTATAAGAACGTTGAGGCTGAGAATAACCCAAATTTTAAGAATATACTAAGAACAAACTTCGGGCTGAGGGCCATTAGAGTCATTAGAGGAAGTTTATTTTGACAACGTTTTGAAATAACAGTGCGAACTTTGGTAAATTGTGAAACTTTATCATGAGTTGCTTACAGTCCGTAACTAATCAAGAAATAGATTCCATGTTGTCGTGTGTCTGTTCAGCAATAGATCACAGATGACGTCAAAATGTGGTAAGAACAAAAAAGCGGCACATGAGGTAGTAGCCGAGTGTATCCATTAGTCTTATGGTTAATTTTAGGAAATTTTCGTTCGCATGGTTGTTTGCATTTTTCCATTCCATAACTATGGGAAGTTGTAACGAAGCTAGTAAAAAGTTAAGAACGATTGAAAATGGTAAGAACATCTTAGCGGGTTAAAATTGGCAATAAAACTTAAGAAAGTTCAGCTTCATTCCAAAACCTAGACGTTCGTACAAATAGAGAATGTACACCATCAAAAAAATTGTGTGAATTAATCTTTGTGCATTTTTTTTGGCAGATCCTTGCTTTTACAATGGTTCTTGTAGCAACACAGCTGGTTCGTACAAATGTAACTGCATATCCTCCAAGACAGGGAAGAAATGTGAACTAGAGAAAACAGCGTGTGACAACAGCACATGCAAAAGCTCTGAAATCTGTGCTCTGTCTGAGAGATCGCCTAACGGATATCAGTGCGTAGACAAGAAACTTGAGATTGCCATGGTGTTGGGTGGAGACGAGCGTAGCAGTGTGTTTGATCTGGAGACGGAAATAGAGAATTTGGTCAAGTCTGCTCCAAACAACGCCAATTCGGTAAGATACACTTTCACTGAAATCAAAGTGAAATTACGGTAAAATTACGTTAAATCACAGTGAAATTACAGTAAAATTACGTTAAATCACAGTGAAATTACAGTAAAATTACGTTAAATCACGGTGAAATTACGATGAGACTGGAGTGACACTACGCGAAATTAAAGTGAAATTGCGTGAAATCAAACTGAAATTACACTGAAATCACGTGAAGTTACAGTAAAATTGCAAGAAAATTGCATTGAAGTTACAGAGAAGTTACAGCGAAATTTCACTCCGATGTGCAGACTATGTTCGGAATAGTACTGTTTTGCATTATATTGAAGCGAAAGCTTTTTTCTGCCTGCTACTTTCAGTTCTTTCTACAAAACGGTAAAAAAATGGTTGTTATAATAACGCGGTAGCGATTGTTTTGTCATCTATAAAAGTAGACAGAGAACCTTTCTGTCGGCAACACTTCTCTTGCATTTCCCAATTTCCTGAGTTTTAGAAAATTAATTCGCAAAACAAGCAGTGGTAGATAAAGTTGTAGATGACTCGCCTTTCCACTGGATATGTCGTTTTTGAAATATCTTCTATTTCTAAGTAGTAGAATTCTATTAGTATACTAATGCAAATGCTGTAATCTGATTGGCTGAGCCATTGAACACTATCAGCCATTAGTAGGCATGGCCTGGTTTGGTCGACAAAATTGTAACGTTTCCTCGTTTCTCCGTAGTTTTGAAAGAACATTTACAAAAAAATGAATAAACAAAATTCCTGAGAAGACTAGAAGATGAGCATTTACGGTTTCTTGAATTAAAAAAGTTCGAAATGTTTGAAAGAAACTGATAAGCGCGCGTACACAACTTTAAATGTCAAATTGACAATTAATTTAGTCCGCGCGAATTCTCTAAAGCTTGAAGTTTAATACTAAGACCAGAAATAATTGAAATCGCTGTTTGAAGGAAATTCAGTTAGAATTCTACTAGAACAATTAGATTATTCGCTCTCGATTTCTATGAGGTGATAGTTGATGAGGCCGAGGGCCGAATCAACTATCGTCGGCCTCATCAACTATCACCTCAGAGAAATCGAGAGCGAATAATCTAATTGTTAATTGGAGTTCTATTATAATTATTCTATTACTGATTATCAACAATTATTCTGTTATTAATTATTCATAATTATTACAATTATTTTATTATTAATTACTCATAAGCATTACAACTTTTTTTCTCTCAGAGTGTCTCTGGCAGGAGAATACGAAGAACTAACGTTAGAAACACAGATTACGGCTCCTGCACAGTCCGTGTTATTCGTTACACTGAGGATAAGGTTCACTTTGTGTTGCTCTGTCCACCGGAAATGAAGCCATTTGAGCCGCAAAACGCGCAACAGTTTATTTGTGGTTTGATGTTTGACGCTGAAAAATCAACGTCTTGTGGTGGAAGTGACTCCATGAAAACGCCGATTCCACCAACAACCTTACCTCCTCTTGAGCCGCTGGAGTAAGTCGCTTTACTTTTTTGTAGTAAATCGCAATTTTCTCTATTCAGAAAGACTTTACTGCGAATTTTAAGAGTTTCTGTTCCCTTCAGAGCTCTTATTGGAAACACCCTCTACGCTTCTCTCAAGTAGAAGCGTCAAATATTGTGTGACGAATGCAACGTACGCAACGAGTTATTGGATCGTCACACAACACTTCTTCGAGCTGAAAGGGAGACCCTTTTCGTGACCCCGTAAATGACGGGGGACACAGGAGACTAGAAAGCTGTTTACTTAAAAGGCACACCAATTACTTACTGTGCCAGGTTGAGAACATGTTGTTTTAGGCCTGAAAAACCCTACTTACAAGTAGAAAAGTGGTTCTAAAAATATCCTTACACTGCGTCTCAGAGACACGGAATATCAGCGATACTCCTTTTTATGGGCTCTTCACGCCGCTAAGCTCATTGTCACAGAAATCGTCAAATTCTCACAATAATACTTTATTAGATATGTGGCGTTTACTGAGGAGATTTTGTGTTTTCTCCAACTCTGGCTAAACGGTGTTACGTTCCCTCTACAGGGTCAAGTTAACATTATTTGCTCGAGACAGTGAATCTGGAAGTGATTTGACGGCCGGTAAAGTTGTTGAAATGATCAACAGTGGAGAAGCCGAGGATTTAGAGCAGTATGGCTTCAAAGTGGAAAGTGCTTCAACCAGTAAGTATTTTTCGCTTTTAAAAAAAGGCAGACAAAAACTAGGTCTGTGTCGCCCCAAAGTATATGGATTTACGAGCTAATTTAGTCAGAAGAGCTCTGGATCTTGTTCACGTGAAATAAGTGTCTTTTGGCTTGGCAAGTGTTTAAGAAGCTACGGATGATGGAAGATCGAGCTTAGAGAGATGAAAACGTTCTCTAAGTTGTCCTATAGACCGGAATCCCTTACCCTGGACTGACGAGTCCCATTAGTCGCGAAACCGCTGCTCAGTTATCATGGCTTCGCAGTCTCGTGCTTGTTGAAAGCATTGCTATAGAAGTATTAAGGTTCCTCTTTCGTTCCATGAGCTTTGCCCTCGACAACCATTTCTTGGAATGGTCTGATACTCAAACGGTATTTTCTTGTTATTTTTGCAGGTTACACAGAACCACAGACAGGTAATTATTAATTTGATTTTGTATAATAATATATTCATTCAAACAGTTAAGGCAAGCTCAATCATCAGTTGTACCGTGGCTGTGTTGTCTCCAGGCGTATCTATGAACTTTCCAACGGTTTGAGGATGGTTTTGTACGACGAAAAGTGAATCAGCAGTGAATATGACATGCCTGTTGTAAAGATAGATGTTCCATGCTCTCCAAACCTATTTGGTTAAAATAACGTGTTTTATTAAAATACATAAACAACAACAACAACAAAAAAAACACTTACAATAAGTTACTTGGAAGAAGTTGGGAATTGAAGAAAACACTTGTATTTTTCCTGCAATTCCCATTTATTCTGCTATGCCCGTACTTGCCTTACACCAGTATTTTAGTATAGGGTGTTACTACCTCAATTCAGGTCCTTAAGTGACTATAGACAATATTTACTTTGGAGATTTTAGTACTAATTTTCATTTTTCCCGTGGTTTTACAGCTAAGCCGTCGTCAAAGACTGGTTTAATCGTAGGTTTGACGATTGGCTTCTTTGTTCTCATCGTCTGCGTGGCTGCCGTTGCTTTTGTTGTCAAAAAAGGGTAAGAATTATGACACGTTAATAGCCTGGGTAATATACTGAAGAAGTTGAACTCGCCGTTCCCCTCTAGCTCTCTTGGCTTTCCAACTTGTTTACGCGCATCAGGCCCTGGTCAAAGTGTAAGCACGTGACCTACGCCGCGCGTGGGAAAACGCACGTGACCAAATCGTGATTCTTTTCAAGTTTTGCATCTCATTGGTGGAGTTAATGGAGTTGCCGCGGCCACCTTTGGTTGTCCTATTGTCGTTAATCCTATAAAAGGGCCACCCAAAATTTGATGCGTGTAAATTAACTTTGTTTTGGAAAAGGCGATGACAGATAAGAGTCCGAAGTAGAGAGCGATCATCGATTAAAAAAATTTAGGCACACGAGTATTATTACCTTCACCTCATTCTTTTTTATGTTGCCTTAAAGCAAGTTTGTATTTGTGTAATTGAAGTTTCTACCACGCCCCATCCTAACTCCCAACGATCTCCTATTGAGCAGCCACCTCCCATTTTCCCAAGGGTTGCCGCTTGATAGGGGTTCGACTGTATTTTCAACAAAATAGAGCAATTACCTGCGTTGTTTTCCCTCTAGGCGAAACAAACCTACGAATTTCCACCACTCATTTCAACAAAGAGCGGTAATGACACGAATGGATAGTGAAGAATCTATACTCCAGAGAGACAGGTCTGTCAAGGACATCTGTCGCTCAGAGAAACACTACCTCAATGTAGCTTATGACGAGAATTGTGATGTTTCTGACGATGAAGAACAACAATTCATGGTTCAAGTTGATCTTGGTAAACCAAAAAACAAGAAATCAGCCACGGTGAGTTATCATATCAAGCAAAGACCAAATTTGAGTTATAAACCAATCGTCAGGGCTGTACTGAGAATATCAGCCCTTAGTCTTGCCAGTACGGATCGAGTGCAGCGACGTCTGTACAGAAGGTAAACGGAAGACTTATATTCTCCCAGTACGATCCTGAATATGTTGTATTAGGTCATGTCCGAGTTACCTTGTGCCTCTGTTTCAAAACGAGTCTTCTTGCAAAACCCTTCATACGAAAATGAGTTTGATTTGCATGAAAATGAACATGTTGGCGGAACGCATTTCCAAATGAATGGTTTCGCACGGAGACTCGTTTTGACAAAGAGGCAAAAGGCAACTCTAAAGAGGTTTCAAAAGATTACCTAAACAATATTATGTAGGACAGAAAGGAAGCGATCTGATTGGTTCATTCTTATAATTATTAGCTCTCAAAACTGTCTTAGTCCCGAAAGACAACTTTGACCCTTGAAAGTTTAGCCTCACCAACACCCTATTTGTTTTTGTCCTGTGCAGAATGGAACGTCATATATCTCACGATATGCAAAAGAATTACCTTGAAATCTAGGAAAGTAGTAGCGTTCTTATGTAGGGAAACATTTAAGAAAAGAAATACCTTACCTTAAAGAAAACAAGGCGTGCAAGGTTTTAAAGGAGCGACAACTCTCATAAGTTCAATAGTTAGGTATACAAAAACATAACTAAACACAATTCATCGTAGAAGTTTCGTAACTAAATGACAAATTGGGTTTTGCAGGTATGCAACGAGCCATACTTCTACGAAAAGATCACAATACTGGAAGCTGAGGAAATGCTTTCTTCAATGGTGAAACCAGGCACGTTCCTTGTTCGCGAAGGCCCTAACAGCAATGAGTTCTTTCTGACGGTACGGGCACCCGAAGGGGGACCAGCATTCAGGCACTTGCCTTTCAGATATGACAAGGTCAGCGACGGCTTGGTTGCTCAGTTTGGTTCAATGGAAGACGACATGACTTTCAAATCAATGGATGAGCTTGTTAGCTATTTCCAAGTCACGCCGATCAACTTTGACGAGGATTCACCAGATGTGGTCCTGACCCATCCCTGGAATAAGAGTGTGGTCTAAAGCAGTGCAATTAGTTTGCAATTGAATGTATTGAAAGCGTGCTTTGTTTTGTTAACACCTATCCACTGGATAGCGTTGTCCAGCCTTCGAACAACTGGGGCCGGTACAGTAGAAATGCAGGCGTCAAGAAATTTTTAAGAAATCGAAAACAAAAAAGTTATGCGTTAAGCCAGTGAGCCAGAAGAGAATACCTCAGCATTTTCAACCATACTTTATAGCCGAGCGTAGTTCGGACCTGTTTAGATTGTCAGTTAAGTGTAATTTCCAGATAAGCTTCTTGAGGATTTTGGTAGTCTTACTTGAGTGAGCTTTGCTACGAATGTGATATATAAGTTGTTTTGTCGATTTTTTTGAGAAACTTCATTCAATCGGCTGACAGGAATTGCTGAATATAGCTACAATGTTTAGGTATAGTTTGCATGGCGCTGAAATATCTGATCAGCGATATTACCCTAAACTGAAATTCCCCAAAGGCCTCATAAAGCTGCACCTCCCTTCTTTCAGCGCCTTTCTTCAACCTCTAAAAGTCGCCTCTTAAAGAGGACAAGAGAGAAGATCTACAATCCCCGACAAAAGACAAAAAAGTTTTGGCACGCTTGCCCACCTTTGCAGTATCTGTCAGGGAAATATATCAGCTCGCCCCCCTCCCCCCAATTCAATGTTGTTTACGCATTTACGTGCCATCTGATCCAGGCGTGCCAAGGACTTATGTCGTGGATTGTAGGCTGGCGACGAAACAAGATTTCAATCCTTTGCCATCCCTTGTCAAGATGATCAAGTTGCTCTTGATCATTGGTTTATCATAAAGTCTTCCCCCCATCCCGTCCCTTGAAGCGAAGTAATCTTGGTTGGGGGGGGGGGGGGGTAATTTAAAAGGCTTTACATGTAACATCAATTTCCATTGATGATTGAAATATATGTATATAATTATGCTCTGTAATATTTAATTAGTAATAATTAAAATTGAACCATTTCTGCAACATTCTTCGAAATAGGAGACGGTCCGATAGATAATGTATTATAATTTGCTTCGACCATTGCAAAATCGACAGAGGCTGTGATAAATATGATTGTGAAATATTTTAACAACACGCCACTGGCCTGAATATGTAAATTTTTGCCGAGCAATAAAGTTCATTTTAAAAATTTTGATGTCCTCTTTTTTTTTCTGGCCGGGAGGTGGGTCGGGGGGAGATTAAAGCCTCGTTCAAATTTTCCCGAAAACTTTTATAGTGAGACACTTACACTTACTTCGCGCCTATTAGACACGTCCGTAACCATGACAATATCAATATCGTCACATGTAAAATATAAGAAAATGGTATTTAACAGCACGCAACAAGGAAGAATTTAGATATCAAATTTTGGGAACAAAGAACAATTTTTAGGAACTTCTAACTGGGATTTCTTTTTCCGTTTTTAGGACCACTTTTCACGACCTCTAAATGTGAGGGTCCGAATCCTCTTTTGGGTGCCTTTTAATTTGAAAGCTACAAGTCAAAGGGAATTTGTTTGTTTGCCCTCAAATTTGGACAGTAGCTATTTTAGTTTGATATATAAACAACAAAGACGAGTCTGCGAATTTTTTAGTTCCAAAAATTTTCTCTCTGAGAGCAATTTTTCTACGGTCACTCCATATTTTTTCATCCTATTTGGAAAATGTTCTGTAACTTTTGACTGAAATTACACACGGCAAATCGGAAACAACTTTTTTTACCACTGGCTCCGGAAACTGAGGAACAAATTAAATAAGCGAAGAACAAAATTCGCTTCGACTTGTGGCTTTCAAAAGGTGATTAAAAATTCGACAATTCATTTTATTTCAAATTCTTTGTATAGCTTGAATTGATAGCCAGCTCTATAAGCTTTAATTTAACATGGACGTTTACGTTTAGGGGTTTAGGTATCTACAGTTTAAACCGGACGCGCTACATCGCTTGGACGTGAGACACGGTATACGGTGACCTTAATACATGTAAACAACACTACTGTGATATTCACGACCATCCGGGAAACCATTAGTCCTGCCTAATTAGAGAGATACAATGCTATCAGTGGTAACGTCGTTTGATGTTTTCAGTTGCAAGTTATTGACCTAAATGTGACCAATCACATTGGCATCGCACGAGTCTTTTCAATGACATAACATTAGTTGTTAAAACGAAGCTCTACGCGCAGACCTGAGCAAGGCCGCCAAAGTCTTGCAGTATAACCCTTACGCACGAAGCGGCCATGTTAGAACCATTATGCCTCATGCTTATCTGATCATGTGTAATTAAAGTTTTATGATATCATTGACTGATATTTTGTTACTCATTTGTTAAACTAAATGTGAGGAAACATGACATCGTAGGATTTTTTTTTTTTTTTTGTTATAGCGTTTGTTCTAACAAGCGCAACACTACTAATAGAGCAAGTATTTTTCACAGATTTAAAACAGAAATAAGATAAAATCTTTTCTGCAATACTTATAAACCACGCGGCTACCTGGGAAACCGCTTCTCGCTTTGTTTATTAGCTGTACCTTTTAGCAAAGTGCAATTATCGACTAGAAACTCATTCACCCAAAGGTAACCAATCGTTGCGCGGCACGATTGTATTAGTTAGCTTTAAAACACTTTGATTCAATAAGCCTTGGTCATAATTTCTTCGAAAGCGCAGAACAAGCAGGTGAGTGAAGGAAACATTTAATGGCGACGTTGTAGAATTACAATATTAGGGAGCTTAAGCAAACCACGACGACGAAGGCAACGAGAACGTCACCAAACAAAAGGTTTTATGGTCAGAACAACAGCTGTGTACGTGCGTTATTAATCTTTGTGCATTTCTTTGCCGACCTCTGCAAAACAGCAACGTGAAATGACCAAGTTCTGCGTAGCCAGAGAAAAGCGAACGACAGCGACTGTTTCGTATTTCCATTTGGAATTGAACGCTGCCATTGCATATTTAGCCTGAGCACGTTTGTAGAGCCATTGGCGTACTGAATAGTTCTAGAAAATTGCGAATTTCACTGATAAAATATAAATTTATTTTTGACTGGGCGTCGTCCTCGGAGTCACCATCGTCGTTACTTAAGCTCCCGATAACTTTGAAAGCAGTATGACCTAATTACCCAAAAATGACAACATTTCAACAAAACATTAATTTCTCTGAAGAAACAATTAAGAATATTTGGCCGTTAACCTCTGAGACATTTGTAGTTAGGATCTGGCTTTTAAAGAATTTTTTTAACGTTTTTGTAAATACAGCACTGTGTTGTTTTCTCATCGATCAGTTCTAATCAAGAGATTATCAAGGTTACCTTACTAATCTTTTGTTCTAACAGAAGCTATTTGTTCTCGCTTTGTTTCACAGCGTAGCAGACAGTCAGACCAAAACCAAAATGAAGACTCTTGCAGTTCTATCACTATGTCTTTTGGCTCTAAGTGTCACAGAGTGCACACCAGGTATTCAAGTAATGTCTTTGAATGATTCCCAAATCTGTTTGTATGAACTCGTTCTTGATGATTTTATTAGTGACCAAGAATTTTAAAAACAATGATCAAGCTAAGAAGGCGCTTTCCACTCGACCAAAAATTCCCATTTGAATTTCTGAACTTTTGTAGTAGAGAAGAGAGCATCATTTTCCGGAATTTTCAGAAAAGAGGACAACTTTCGTTGACCCCGAATTGAAAGTTTACAAAATTCTACGCAAGAAGTTGAAACCACTGTAAATTATCGAATGTAGTCGCAAATCAATGCAGTATTACCCTCTTCAAATCGAGTAAGTTTGCAATTGAATCGGTGATTAGCGACTTAGCCGAGCAACGAGTTGGCTTTTGTCTCTGTGTCAAAACGAGTCTTAGTGCGAAACCATTCACATGAAAATGTGTTCCGCCTTACAGGTTCATTTTCATGCAAATCAAACTCATGTTCAATGAAAAGTTTGCACGAGGACTCGTTTTGAAAAAGAGGCACAAGGTAACTTGGAAATGGCCATTTCCGCAGGATCAGCCTCGTTCCAAAGGATTCTCGGCTCGTCGGAGTCTGGAGTCTCTATTAAAAGCAGTGACTTCACCAGACCTCGCGCGGACAGCGGAAAAGCAAGCGCAGAATGTTATGTTACCCACTGACAAACATTTCAACTCGTTTCCAGATCCTTGTCCTAGTAGCTGGTTCCAGTTTGAAGACTACTGTTATCTGGTGAAGGAATCCACTGCCTCCTGGTCCGCGGCTCAAGAGTACTGCCTTTCCCAGGGCGGGAACCTAGTGAAGATTAACAACATCGGGGAAAACGAGTTCGTCCTGCAACTTGTCAGACAGGAAGCTCCATCAGTGAAACATGTTTGGATTGGGCTGGGCTTCAATACCGAGGTCGACGACTGGAGCTGGATTGACAACTCACATCCATTCTTCACCTACTGGAGTCCGGGTGAACCCAATGGATTTGAGCACGAACCATGCGGAGAGATGTATATTGACAACACAGCTGAGCTCCCGGTCAATGGCTACTGGAATGACCACACCTGTAATAAGACTAACGCCATTGTCTGCAAGAATTTGGCTGATCATAGTTCATATATATCATAGCCGCAGAAAGTCAGAGTTGGTCGCGAGAAATTAGCGCTGTTACAGTTTATTTAAAACATCAACGAAGTAAAAATAATTGTAACCGACGACTTAAAAGAAATGGCGGCTTGACAATTAAAATGCTACTATAAAGTCTGTCGTTCCGTCGTTTTCTTTAAAACTAGAGAGCATAAAAAATGACTACCGAGGACAACGTCGGGTAAAAAATGAATTTATATTTTATATTTTCGAATTTCGTAATTGTCTAGATCTGTTCAGTGCCCCTACTGGTCTCAGAACTTGCTCAAGCTAAAAATGTAACGCCAGCGTTCGATTTCAAATGAAAATACGAAAAATTAACCGTCGTCGTTCGCGTTCTCCAAAATACGCAGAACTTTCACGTTGTTGCTGTACAAAGGACGCCAAAGAAATGTACAAAGATTTATGACGCAGGTGCACAGCCATTGTTCAACTTCTCGTTGCCGTTGTCTTCGTGGTTTGCTTAAGCTCTCTACATGCCAGACGAAACAGCAAGACCTTCAATACGCTTTACCTAAGGGAAACAGCAGTGAAAACCCATTATCTTTGCGCTTCTGACAGAGTTGACTGTACCTAACCTCAGCAGAAGTTCAAAAAGATCTGAACATTTTGAGAACGAATGTCCTTAAGGCGGCTCGTGTTGATTTTTTCGAGGCACACCATTCTAACTTGAACGGCTGATATTTCATTGTCTGAGTAGTCGTTCGGGCAAGCTACTTCACAAGGTAAGATCATCGGACCCTGAAACAATGTCTATACACAAAACCGGTGCGAATATCGTACGTTTAAAACCAAGAAGTATCATGATAACTAATTTATTTATGACCACTTATCAATTATTACTTTTATTATGCAAAAATGTTTATTAGTTAGCCTTTCAACTACCTAAGGATCCAAAATCTGGGAATTACGGTATAAAAGTTTTCGTTGAATTGTTTTATCTGCACAAACGAATACACGCAACATCCCACCTTGCAATTACCGAGATGTCTTTCGCCTGATTCAAAACTAGGCTTCAATGTGTACAGCTCACTTTCATGTGAATGGTATTGTCCTATGTAAAGGCCACTAGTACGTAGTCTATGACTTGGTTTGTTGTTTGGTCCTCTACTAAACTAGCGTATAAATTCACAATATACTGTATTAAATAGCAATAGTTACGGCTATGAGTATGTTATTGAGTTGTATCACTGCCAAAGCATCTCCCTTCATCCGCTCGCTCTACCATGTGCAGTTCTCTTCAACTGAACCCACATAAAAAGGGGCCATATTCAAATATCCCTCTAAGCTCCCTCGTCAGATATCGATCGTCCCACACCTCTTGCACTGACAAGTGACGGACAAGAATGCGACAATACACCTGCAGAAGTCTATTTTACCCACTTGAAAAAATTGCAACGAGCCTGTGGGTTTGAACTGTGTCCCTGCGGTCGAGCACAACAATGAAACTGTCTGCCTTGATTGGGGCCTTTGATCTTAACTGTTCTTAAGACGCAAGGTTCCTTGTGGCCACTGCAGAGAGGGGGTGGGCGGGGCCCGGTGAGAATGCTCTTCCACAGAGCAACCTCACCTTTGCGTTTTTCAGGGCAGTCTTTGCTGCTACCAGTGACAGTTTTATCGTGAGAAAGGTTTGTAGTGTTTTTAGACACGAAATCGTCAGAATTTACACCCAAAGAAACACTATTTGCCTGAGGAGCCAATGCTATGTCAGAAACGCCATTGTCTGGTTTATTGGTTTCACTGACCTCAGCTGCGACGTTCTTATCTGACGCAACAGAGCTTGAAGATCTTGAAAAAAAGCTAAACAGATCCGTCTTTGGTTGGCTGTCGGCTTTGCCTTTCGCTCCAGCAGATTTCTGGCGTTTTATGGCTTTAGCTTTATCGCCATCAAGAGAAGCACTACGTTTTAAAGATGATTTTACTTCTTGTGATTTACGAGTGGCCTCGGGTTGACTTTGCGAAGGTCGGTGCACGTGCTTTGCAAAGTATGACTTCAGTTTTTGCTGTCTTCCCGCAAACTCAGGCATATACTTGGTACAAAGTGCCGGTGCTTTAAGCGCAGCTTGGAAACATGTCTTCAAAGTTGCCACAACTGGGCAGTGATCGGAGCCGTCGATATCAGCTCTTATCTCGCAATCGACGAACTCTTTTCGAACGAGCTCCACGTCAGCAAATATGTAATCGATTCGTGTGCCGTAGTTTGTTTGACGCGCGCTGGTTACTGTGCACCAGTTAGTGTACGCGCCTCGCTCGGAGGGGTGAAAATAACGGAAGGTATCTATAAACATCCCTCCGTGCCCGTCAACAGATCCACTCGTTTCTTCGGCTGGTTTTGTAGAGGACATCTCACCAGGCACTAAAAAATGATCTAACCACTGTCGCCCAGGATTAGCATTGAACAACTCCTACAGTGAAGGAGAAACCATAACTTTAACTGAATTCTTGCGTGTGAGTCGTCTGAATGTTTTTTTTTTTTTTTTTTCAGTAATATAGGTTATTTATTAAGCGTGAGGTCAACCTGGCTGGATTATGGACCTCGACTCCGTCTTGGTCCATAAATCATACAAAACAAGAACGAGCCAATACCCAGCCATCTTGACCAAAACAAGCTTGGTCAACAGCAAAGTAACGTGCAATCATCCAGCCTCCTACGGACCCTCTCTATGGGTTTGTCACGCAATCTTCCTCCTCGGGAGGAAGATTGCGTGACGAGCCCAAAGAGCGTCTGCGCAGGTGGCTAGCAATTATCCCGCTTTCGGGTCTCAGTTACACGTTCAAAATCTCAAAAATTTGAGGCCGCCAAATGCCCCAAATCCTTCCGCTTTTTCTGACGCTTTCTTCAGCGACAGAATCAAAACAAACACAAACGCTCGCAATGTATGCTGTTCAACAGAGAGTCTTTAACACAGCGGCTTCAACAGAGAACTTTCTTCTCTATACATTATACTATATCATATTATTATTGCTTTTATTATATGACTGGGAAAATTACTTCATCGTGATTGGCTAAGAGCAGGCCAATTTATGGTTAATTTTCACTTTGCACTGCAGTGCAAATTAGCGCGCGCGCGTTAGTAATTTTCTCCCAAAGTGATATAATAAATGAGTATTTGTGTGAAAGCTCCAGCAATTAACGATTTACTACCAAATACTGCTAGATGCTTATTATGCTATGGAAACCAGGATAAGCTCTCGCGGTATGGACCACTTGGTACAAGCAGACTTTTAAGGACTGGTTATGGCTATACATGTAGATACATTTCGGTTACAAATATACTTACCTCTTTGTCAGGTTCACAATGGTCGATCATTTTATGTGATGTGTTGATGTCACCAAGAACTATGACATGTCTACAGGATGAGTAACAAACAAACAAACAAACAAAAAATCAAAACAAAACTTGAGCTGTACTCAGCCAAACATACATGTACACTGTCAGACACTTGGTCAACACAGATACTAATAAATAACAAAAATGAGCTACTTCATTCATTTGTCACAATTTGGGACCTGTCTCCTTCACATTACTCAAAATTTATCTGGAAAGTGCATTTCAATACAAAGACTGCTAAACCAGCCCCTGTGGAGAAAAGGGACTCTAAAGCCTTGTATATGAACTGAAATCGATACAGCTGTACAGTGAAGTGTAATATTGTAAATAGACCAAATTGTCACGGTCAAAATGGCCGAAATGTTCAATTTCGTTGTTTTTAATTTAATTTTAAAGTTCATTAGACTAAATAAAACACTGAGTTCCTGAAAATATCCATCCCTCCCCCACGGAAGGGATTTTATCCAAGAAACCCCCTTCCCCTGATACATTTCAGTCTTTAAATGTTTTGGTCTTAGAGAATGCACCTCCCCCCAGGAAATTCCAATCCCCTCTGTGGGGGGAGTATGGATATTTTCTGGAACTGGACACAAACATTCAGAACAGGGAAATTTATCTGAATCTTGTGGCTCATGTTATTGCATGTCTCAGATGACTCGCTATACACTCGCCTATACATTGTAGGTTGTGCATAGCGATATGTAGTAATTAAGAAAGAGCAACATGGTGTTTAGTTTTGGGTTAGCAATTTTTTTCAACCCTGTTTACTTGTTTAAAGATGATTTCCAGTCGACACTACATAATTTCAGCACCCTAATGTTTTTATTGAAACATTATAAATCTCACTTGATGGAATGTGAATAGATGTTATTCCTTACGAACAACATACCTTATCTTTGAGACCTTTCAAATTCTTTTTCCAACAGCTTCATTGATTTAACAGCAAGGAAGTTGTTTCATCAAGTGATAAGAGACATAATGAAGCACAAAGCTTTGACTGCTTCCCATTCATAATGGCGGTTGTTTAGAACCTTCGAGTTTAATTCATGTAAGTAGTTGCAAAATGTTTACATTTTGTGATGTCTTGCATGAAACAAAACAAAAAAATGCAAACAAATTCTCAAGAGTGTGCAGTATGGACTGGAAATCATCTTTAACTAAATTTTGCTTTGTTGCAAGTACACTAAATACATGTAGCCTGAAACAAAGGACAATTAAAATCAAACACTGGTATATAACTTTGTAAATCAAGGACAAATTTAAGCCATAACAAACATACCTTCCTGCCTTGACAAGGGTCTCGGCTCTCTCCTGTAGTAGTTTATAAAAATTCATTTTGAAATCTACTCTTTCGTTATTCTCTTTGTCAGCTCTTGGGCAGTAGACATTAACAATAACAACTGACTTGCCATCATCGAGTCTGTGTTCTGTTAGCATGGCACGACCCTCTGCATCTAAAGCTTCCAAGTCTTCTAGAGTGAAGTCTACATTATTCCCATAACATTCAATAGAGGGCTGCGGGGTGAGCACAGCAGAGAGACCTTCTTCTGCAGCAATGGGTGTCACTTCATTGCGGCAGAATGTAGCTACCCCTGTCAGGAACAATGAAATTTATCTCTCATTAATTGATGAAAATGGCATAGATAAAACAAACCATACCCTATTTCAGTCCACAAATTGATTATAAATCTATAACTTACTTCAGACAAAATGTCAACAAAGACATACCTTTTGGCACAACACATACTGACAGCTTATAAAGAAAAGTAGCTCACCAAGATTCTACATGTATAACTGATTTGTGCAGCTTGAAAGATATAGACTCAATTTTTCAAGAGCATTACTTGTATTATATGTTGTAATTTTCTCCATCCTAAACCATCCTCATTTTGTTTTGGCCAATTGAATTGCTTCTTTAATTTGTATTTGTCAACCTCTCAGCACTATAATTTTCTGGTTTCCTACATTTTGAAACCTTAAAATAACAGTGAAAATGTCATGATGGCCCATTGCCATTACAGGTAAATTGTGTTAGTGTCACTTCCTTGTGAAAATGTGGCTATGCCTGTGATAGGACCCTGGTCCAATCTTGTCCCTTGAGTCTTGGTGTGCAAGCTTAATGAAAGGAACACTCATGAGCGTTTGGTTACAGGCTAGATTTTGATTGGTTCTGAAAACAATGGAAATTGACGGAAATGAAACACCAGCACCTCAATTGAGCCACGTGTTTGTCAGCTAAACACGTGCAATTCAAACAGAAATCTGATATTTTCAAACTTCAAATCAGATCTTTCAAGGGCTGCTTGTTTCCTGACTGCTGGTCAAGGGGAATGAAGACTCTGGGTACAAGGTTGGAATCTGGTGTAATTGCCATTTACACAATGAACAACAAGCAGCATCTAACAGACTAGTCTAATAAGTAAAAAATGTTCTCTTACCAGAATACCCTGTTTTCACTTTTGAGAAACTAAAGTATGCATTGTACCCATCTACAATAGCTGTTACTTCATCTAACATATCACCTGAAATCAGAACACAGGGTCTAGTAAGTACACTTTTGAACCACAGAAAATGTTCAAGATCTCGCCTCAGATTGTCTGCAATACAAGTTATTATGAGTAAGATAAAACCTATACATATATACACTTTCCAGTTGCAAGTTGTATACGTGTAGTATGTAACTGTCTGATTAGTGTAACATTTTATAGGAGTGGCAAAAGCACCACAGTCGGATTTGAGCGATTGCTAAATAAAAAAAACCTCATAAATAGACTGTTTTGAATAAAATGTCACTCTCATTTTAATCCAAAAGCAGGGTATAGGCCTTTGCTTCTAGGCAAGACTTAAGAACTAAACGGTGTCAAATAGGTGATGAACATGTGGTTGTTCAGTCAGGTTGCTTATGATACTTTAGTAAGGGTGGTGTATTCTTAAGAATTAATTTTTTTTTATTTATCAAATAATATTTTTACAATGTAACATTTTATTTTGTTGTAGTGTGCGGTACTTATTACAAGTATCTACGGTAACACTTTTCAATTTGGAATTGGATGAAAAAAATNGTAACTGTCTGATTAGTGTAACATTTTATAGGAGTGGCAAAAGCACCACAGTCGGATTTGAGCGATTGCTTATAAAAAAAAACCTCACAAATAGACTGTTTTGAATAAAATGTCACTCTCATTTTGATCAAAAAGCAGGGTGTAGGTCTTTGTTTCTAGGCAAGACTTCAGAGCTAAATGGTGTCAAATAGGTGAAGAACATGTTGTTGTTCAGTCAGGTTGCTTATGATACTTTAGCAAGGGTAGTGTGTTCTTAAGAATTAAAATTTTTTATTTATCAAATAATATTTATAATATTTTGTTGTAGTGTGCAGTACTTATTACAAGTATCTACAGTAACACTTTTCAATTTGGAATTGGATGAAAAAAATAAAATATTCACAGACATTCAGAGCTGGAAAAGAACAGATGAAATGATTTTGTTCAAAAGAAAAACATGGTTCATCATGGTGTCTTGTTAGAGATTTGATGACCAAATGACAGAAAAAGACTGATAGTTGTGTAATACCACAATATGCACTTGTTGCCAACGGTGGACACACACGATTAACAATTATTGGGCAAGGTTAGGCAAAATATCGTGGTCTGTGAGAAACTGACAAATTACGACTCATATTTTGCCATAACTGAGTTCATCATTCGATCACCAAGTTCGCTTTCATATTTTAAAATCACTCTCTAACAGCTCAGGGAAGCGATCAGCCACTTTTCACCAGAGAGCGTACATGCAGTGTAGTTACAATTACGCATACAGACTGCAAGCAGAATGCTATTTGAAGCAAAACCCATTTAGATGGTACACATGAGCAGACCAGTATTTGTAGGCAGTTATTTGCAGGTCACGTGGTGGGCTCTCACCAATATTATGAAAAGAAAGAGAAGAATGCATTGAATTTGTAATACATGTAGATGCAAATATTTCAGATTCTGTAGAACAATATTCTTCTTCTGCAACATTAGGAGCAAATACTATGATTAGACGAATGGTGCAACATTTTTCAGGAGGCACAGATGATGCAATTTAGCTATTGTGCATAGAATTGCGTGCAATGCTGCATTGTTTATCCCCCCTCCCCCTATCTCCCTTCACCCGAACCCACGAGGATATAAAACCAATATTGGCGGGAAGATATTTTAACAACGTTAACCAATCCACATCACAAAATATAAGCTCAGTTTGATATGTTAGCACATAGCATGACTAAACTGTACTTTCAAGACGACAGGAAACTTAATTTTAATGAAGTTTAAAGTTCAAGCTTAAAGCCTGTACCGAAATTGATATGATCAAGAGATATCCTCTACTCACGAGTGACTTTCGTCTCCTGCAAGCAAATAACATCAGCTTCAAGAGAATCCAAAATATCTTTCATCGATCTGCCACGTCCAGCAGCACGAATCCCATTTATATTCCACGTTAAAATCTTCATTTCTTTAATAATTTTTCGGGCAGAAACTCCCGCGCGCACTTCGGAATAGCACACCGCTCGCTTCTCGAAGAATGTTGATTAGCCCGCGAACTCATTGTCAGCAGTACGCAACAACAGCAAGAGCTCGCTGGTGTGTACTTGCACGAAGTTGTCCTACACCGCGTACTTCCGGGTGAAGAATTTTCCTTATCCAGTAAACCATATTTGAAATCACGCAAGTACGTTTTACCAAGCATTTGCGATCGCTTTGTCTAACTGGGTGTTTAGAAATCAAATTTTTTTTTTCTGTTTTTCTTTTCTTTTTCTTTTTGGTCTCAACACGCCCACTAGCCCCAGTCTCCCAACCGTGCATTGGGCGCCTTGCCATTCTTGCCATTCTTGCCATCAGTTTGTTGACCCTTGTTTCCAAGGTTGTTGGAGAGTTTTTACATCGGTTGAAAATGGCTGCTGGAGGCTCTGTCCCCACAGAAGCCGGTTTTGCTGTTGAAGTTAAGACGGACTGCCTGCATGTCTTGGTATTTTTTTTTTTCTTTTTGTTTTGAAAAAAATAGCTAAGCTTGGATGGCGAATCCTCTCCTTTGAAAATGTCGAACAAAAATAACTTTTAAACTTTTAAGTCAGCTGTCATGCCTCGCCCATGTAAGCGATTGTTGCTTTGTTTGTATTTTAATTCACCCTCCGTGAAACAAAATCTCTCCAAATAAATATATTTTAAGCTTGTTGAAAGACCAGGTCAAATTTTTGTCCTAAGTTTCTGCGAGCTAAGGCGGTGAACACTGTGGTGTTTGAAAAAGCTGTAAGCTTATTTTGAAAAACAGTGTCTGATGTCTAGTGCCCGTGAATTATTGAAGTTTAAGTTTCATTTTAATCGACTGCTGAGTCTCTAGCTTTTGTGGACAGCTAAAGAGAAACAGAATTTGGTGGTTTGGTTACGTACATGTGAAACGTCAAGGCCCAACCAAGGAGGGTTTAACTGCAGGTTGCAATTTACAAATTTATTATTTATATGTATATTTTTTTCAGAACAATGTGGCTTCTGTTTCCATTCACCCTGTAATCTGAATTTTACCTGCGTGACACAATAAACTAATAATGCTTAATATTTGCTTTTTTATTATGGTGTTATGCCACTGTCAGACTATTGAATAACTGGGTCAGAGAGGGACCTGGAGGCAGAGGTGGGACCTCATCCGCAACTGTATCAGAAAAATTGCAAACCTTTCACTTTAGAAATGTGTTTAACTTTTGGCATTCTGGGCATCATCTGTACACTATCTACACCTGTATGACCAATTGTAACCAATTGTAACTAGACAGCTATAGTCAAATAGACTGTTTACAGCCTCTATATTTGCGCATGTGAAAAAAAAAAGTGAGCGAAGCGAGCTCAAAGCATGCAGAGGTCGGGGGTGGGGTTTGCGAGCAAAGTGATCATTTCTGGAAAAACGGGAAATTCGCTTTTTTCCAAAGATGTCTACAGCCCTTCTATTTATCTCAGTCCTCACCCTCTACCCAGTCAAGTCCTCCGTTTTGCGCTGAAGTCCAGTTCTCTCATGATTCTATCCGCGTGTTCAATGATCGAATAAAAATATGACAAAATAGAGGGCTGTGAACAGTCTATAATCAAACCCCTATTAAAGCGGTCACCCCAGGGGAATGGGAGGTGTCTGCCTAGTAAAGGTTGGTGTACGTTGAATATTTTTCACTATCAGGTTAATTTCTTAGTGAACATGGAGTCACTTCAAGACAATCATGATAAATATGTGTTTGAATGTTTTTATCACTTGCCACCCTCTATTTCAGACTCTTATCTGCCATTGCCTTTTCTAAAACAAAGTTAATTTGCAAGTATTAAATTAAGGGTGACCATTTACAAGGAGTATAAAGGCAATAGAAAAACCCTCATCGAGACGACCAATAGGTGACAGCGACTGCTTAATAGAGGTGGCCAATTAATGGGGGTTCTGTTCCGTCACTGCACTGAGGGCTCACAAGTTAGCATTGCGCCTGGGCGAACTCAGTGTGTTGCTGCCTTTCTGAGCAAATATAAGTTTTTTCATGTCTAGTGAACATTTTCAGCACTAATTTACTCCAAAGCACATTAGAATGCCTGACAACGACATGGATATCGGTCAGAGGAAGGAAACATCTGTCAAAGTAAAAGCGTGCCCAAGGAGACTGAAGTCCAACTTTGTGGAAAATGACACCAAGATTGGTACTTCTCCTTCTCATGGTGAAGGACCTTAACAGAGGTGGCCAGTTAATAGGGGTTTCATTTACAGTTATTGTATTTCATTGACAATAATTTTGGCTGAGGCTATGATAACTGGCCACTTAATAAGGGGTGGCCACTCAATACATGTGGGTAGCCACTTAATAGAGGTTCAACTGTAGAGTAGCTATTTATTATAAACCCCTATCATGTTACATGTAAGGCAGACGTCAGCATTTGTGACTCAGTTTTATTAATGATGCGCTTTGTATCAAATATTTTGATTCCTTCACCAGGCACTAACAAACGTAGCCTCACTTCATGTTGATTTGTCTAAGCCTTGTGAGACATGCGATAACGTTGGTGAGAATTGGCTTTGCCTCGTGTGTTCGTCTGTTTTCTGCAGTCGTTATGTCAATTGCCATATGGTGGAACACAACTCCGCATCAGGACACATGGTGGTTTTGAGTTTCAGTGATCTGAGTGTGTGGTGCTATGGTTGCGACTCATGTAAGTCTCAGACTGTTAGACTGTTGGTTTATTTTAATTAATGGTTACATAGAGGCCTCATTAAGGGGATGTTAGGGACATCCCCTGTCTGAATTTTGCACCATTTCACATTGAAATCTCGCGAGGTCCCTACATCACTGTCAGAATTTCAACACAAGAGACATCCGACTTAGTCATTTCATTGGCCTATTATTGCGCTTTCATCATCATCATCATTGTCATCATCATCATCATTGTCATCATCATCATCATTGTCATCATCATCATCATCAGGGTTCTCAGGTAGCCAGTTGAACAAGATATTCATGGTAGCAGAGCTCCAAAAAAGTGCCGTCTGGTCATCAGGGACAAGTAGATTCTCCTTCAGTAACTTTTCATTCTCACTTGCCCAATGGGCGAGGGATCAGGCAAGTCATCTGCCAACTAAATCATTAAAGAGCAACGTGAGCTACTTGTCCCAAGGGCAAGCTGGAATTCAAGTTTTTTTTTTCAAGTCCTGAGTAGTATGAAAGGGGTCCCTAGGACGTGGGGAGATAAGTCCCCAATACTTTTATTGGGGTTGTGTGGCACACTACATGATCATTTCTTGAAACTTTTTCCCAGGGTTTCAGACTATTAGATAAGTGATTCAACCAACCTATATTATCATTATATGAACTGCAGTTTCTTTGGGAGCAATAATTGCCAGAGGTATCTGTGTTATGGTGATACCTGCTAGAAGAGAAGAGAGGTTCAACCAACTCTAGCCTGGGTTGTAGTCCTTCCAATATTGTTACAACTGTTACAGATTAATCATTCTTGTTTCTGAAAAGAACTAAGCGGTTATTTTTTTTTTTTTTTTTTTTTTTAACAGACATTGGATCTCCTCTGCTTCAACCAATACTAAAAGCTGCTGAACTGGCCAAAGATAGCAAGTGACGAATTGAAGGTATAAAAATTAAGTTACATGTTGCATTCCTTGTTTTAATGAAGCGCCTTTGGGACTGGGGAAATTGGTTTGTTACATTGAGGGTTAGTGGAGGCGCAGCGGCCTCATGGTTAGTGCACTCAGCTCTGGATCGAGCAGTCTGGGTTTGAGCCCTGGCTGGGGACATTTCTTGTGCAACACACTTAGACTTTACTCTCACAGTGCCTCAGTCTCCACCCAGGTGTATAAATTCAAGATAAAATAAAATCATGCATGTATATAAATAAATGTGTTGGGGTTACTGGGGAACTTAATGCTTGGGGGTAACCTTGCAATGGACTAGCATCCTATCCAGGGGGAGTAGAAATACTCCAGACCTAGTCGCTTCATGCTACATGCTACCGGGATAAGCTCCAGCCTGATAGGCCACTTGGCTTGTATACAGACTAACTTACGGTACGTTACATATTGAGTGTTGCTACTGAGAATCTGTAGAAATTTTGCCTAGTACATGTAGCTCATACCATACACATGTATCAATGAATGTTTTTAGGACTTGAGTTCCAGTCTGTGCAGATAATAACATTTAGACAACAGAAAACTACTAGTTGCTAGAAGATTGCCAGTCACAGTTTTTCATTATTTTGCAGACCAACCCTAAAGTGGTAAAAGTTATTTTTCTGTCTCTCTCTCAAAATTCTTTTATAAACTCACGAAAGCATTGCCATGCAAGACTGAACAAAAATAGAATAGAAAAACAGACCAAGAAGAACCATTTGCAGGATTGGTTACAAAGACCCATTGGAAAAAAATAAATGTGCAATGTTATGTTTAGAGTAAAAAGGGAATGTTGTGGTTACACTCTTAATTTTTATAATAATAATAATAATAATAATAATAATAATAATAATAATAAAATATTTATATAGCGCCAATCCACTATTTGTCCATGGCGCTTTACATTAAATAAAAAAATATTTAAAAGCTAAAAAAGGGGAGGGGAAAAAAAAAATAAAAAAATAATCTAAAAATTAAAAGATTTAAAAAGCTTGTTTAAAAAGATATGTTTTTAAATGCTGTTTAAAAATGTCAATCGAACTACTGGATCTTAGTTCAAGTGGGATCGAGTTCCATAGTCTCGGTGCCGCCACAGCAAATGCTCTCTCTCTCCATAAGTTTTCAGTCTAGCTTTCGGGGTAGCCAGAAGGTGTTGAGAGGACGATCTTAATTTCCATTGAGAGGTGTTGTACTTAAGTAATTCACGGATGTAGTAAGGTGCTGTTCCATTGAGAGCTTTGTAGACCAGTAGGAGAATTTTAAAAATTATACGGTAGCAAACAGGTAACCGGTGGAGCTGTTTTAGGACAGGGGTGATATGATCAAATTTCCTAATATGTGTAACAATTTTTATGTTCAAGTGTTGACAACAGATCAAAGAATCAGACTGTAATTGAAATTATAATCATCATAACAAGTTCAAGACTAGAGTGCAAAAACCATACCCTATTTGAGATTAAAATGGCTAAAATCAATACCTGATTTCTGGCCAAAATGGCTTAAAAAGCACACCCTTTGGGGTCGCACATACCTATATAGCCCATATAATGGAGTTTCCCCCTCCCCTCAAGGGGGGAGAGGGGTAAAGGACAGCTGTAAAGGGAGGCTTAAGAAGCCACTACTATATGTGACGTTTTGTATTTATTTGGTCAGGAAAATTATTTTTTATCAGGGAAAAGTCACTTACGGAAGTTCAAAAAGTGATGTCTGTGGCAAATATGTTGTTGCTAATCAAAGTGAAGACCATTAACAATAGTTATCTTTTGCATAGGTCTTAAATCAAGTACACAGAGAGACATCTGCTGGTTCAGGCTCCATAAAATACTCCAGTAAAGCTGAGTGTGTCATAATATGTTTGTTTTGATTAACAAAAGGATCAAAATCCAATTTCACAAGAGCATAGTTTATTAAATAACCTATTTAAGTTTTATTGGTGTGAAATAAGCTATATAATACAGTTGAAGCTGTCATGGAATAAGCAAATTTGAAATAAACAGTTTTGGAAACTTTTGATTAGTGTCCAAAGAGACGGATTGTGACTTTAACTCCTGGGGTGGGAACTCCCAGAAAAATCTGGTGGGGGTATGTGGCCCACTTCCCAAAACCCTTACCATTTAAATGACCAAAATCTGCAATTTTCCCTACCGTATTTATGACTTGTCCAAACGTTTGGTACCCTATTTATGGCCTTTGCAGCTGGCACACTTGCTCTAAACATAATTTATGAAGAACTTTTGATGATCAAGTCTTCTCATCAATAATGCTGAAAAAGTAGCTTCTTCTAAAGAACATACATTTACTTACTTCAAGACCAGAGTGCAAAAACTATACCCTTTTTCTGACCAAAATCGCCAAAATTGATACCCTGTTTGTGACCAAAACGGCTGAAAAACCCTACCCTTTGGGGCCGCACATACCTATAGAGCCCATATAAGGGAGTACCCCTCCCCCCACCCCCGGGCTTTAACTGAAACTGACAATGCCCATCCAGTTTACTGATTTCATGGAGTTTTGTTCCCTCTGGGGGAACTTCTGAGGCGGGAGCTTACCACCACATACCCACAAATCACCAGTTATTGATCAGGGCGAGGCGTTCTCTTGTTTTCGCGATGGTGGAAAGAAAGAACGCCTGATCGTAGGCCTAAACTTGAAATTTGAGAAATTGAAAGTTATAAAATACAGATTAGGAAATAAATTCACCCCCCCCCCCCCCGGTGGAATTCGTAAATCAAAAGGTGGGGGATGCTCGTGGTCTCGATTAGGGTTATAAAATAAAGGATTCTTGTCTCGCTTAGTGTGTTCATGACGAAACACCATTATTTTTTAGCTGTCAAAGTATCTTGTAAGGTGCACTCGAAGGAATAATAATACAAAACGCTCTTATTTCCGTTTTTAGGCTTGATTTTCCACCGGTCTCTCGAGTCTAGTCTGCTAGCGCGGGCTCCTTTCCTGAACAGCCGCTGGTAATGGCGCGTATTTTGTTTTAAGTGTATCTTTTTAGGGGTCAAATAAAGCTCAAGCCACGCCCCGGTTGGTCTCCTTTAGGGGTTTAATTCAAATTTTCGGACGAGCAACCCCGTGCTTTTCATATGGGGGTTTCACCCGGGAATACTTGGTTATGCTGGCCACTGAAAAAGTCATTGCGAAGACGCTAAAATCACTATCGAGTAATACGTCCTGCCAAACAACATGAAGAGACAACATCGAGACAATGAAGACGATACGCCATCTGCCTACCGGGGGGAGGGGGGGGGGGAGCTATGTCTTTTCCTTTTCTGGTTCAATTCACAAATGACTTCTACAAACAGCGGAATAGTGAAGTTCTTCAATGTTTGATTTATCATCGCAACCGCCATTACGTGAAGATGTTAACAGAACGAATAGTGGCTCAGTGTATAAAACATTTACAGGCAGGGCTGATATTCAACGATAGATACACTCATTTTTAAAAGAATACATTTTATGAGAATATCGAGGCTGAAATGTGCGAATACTTCAGGAATAAACCCGACGCTCAGATTTTGAAAAGAATATAAGTTTGTGTATTGAAAACCCAGCCAAAAAGCAACAAAAATAGCACTGGACGTATGTTCAGTGCTAATAACATTTCTCCAATAAGTTCTGTGTATGTTGTCAGGCTTTCTTGCCTGCAGTCTGTGCCAAGATTACTTCAACACCATCGAAGTCGATAAAACGGAAATGTCATAGAATAAATAAATAAGAATATTCACGAGAATATTCTCAGCCTAAAATCGGCAGAAAAATAAGAATAAATGTTCAGCCGGGGAAAAACAATTATTCCTGTAAAAAAAAGAGTGTAGAGCATTAGATAATCAAATTTCTAACGATAAATAACGCCTGAGATATGGCGAAGAGCTAAAATCCTTATTTAAAAACATCAAACATTTCGGGCTTGCCATTAATATATTCATCAGCACTTGGATAACTGGCGGTGTGCCACAAGAGTAGAATTGAATACAGTTCTGTGTTTTTCACGCGCGCGCGCTCCTTGATGAAAGTGAAATTCAGAATTGAAGCCGCTTGACTGCAGGGAGCTCCTAAGCAGGAAATTAAGACACATCTCAGCCCTTTACTCTGCTTAATTCAAAACTTTAAGGTAGCTTGGAAAAAATCCAGGTTCTTACTGTTTACATGTAAGTGGGTGTTAACTGTACCAGGTGAAAGTCCCCTGGTAGCGATGAAACAATTTTTCCCCGGATATTCCCCCAGTATGGCCGTCGCGTTTAGTTAAAGATAAGATATATTAAAAATTTATCAGTGAATTTTCCAGTAACGTCTGCTGTGTGAAAATAACAAAACAAGAACGAATTCCTGGTAACATTTTTATTTATTTTCAAGCCGGTACTTAATATCTTCTACAACCCGTCATTTGCAAACGATTATTTTTGTACTGAATACATTCTAAATAACATCCTAGACTTATAAGACTTCCCTTTACTAAACCCAACCATCTTCGGCCTTGATATCGTCAAGGTTATTTGCCATGCCAACTACGCCAACTTCTTGCAGACGATTCCGCAGGGATGTTTTGAGTCTGCAGAGCAAGGGATGTCGTTCCAGCGACCAGATGCTCTGTCAGGAAGGTTAAGACTGTTTGCCCGGGCAGTGTACATCTGAGTGCATGGCTCAAACGAAAACCCATTCGGTTCACCGCTGGCCCAGTTCTTGTAGACTGGAATCGAGCCATCGGACCAGAAGTAGTCTTGTCCGTTTTAGTCCCAACTCATCCCGATCCAAACCTGTTTCACTGATGCAGATTGATCTCTGACGAGATTCAGGACAAACTCGTTTTCTTCTTGGCTGTTGATCTTCACCAGTTCCCCACCCAGGGAACGGCAGTACGCGAGAGCCTGGGACCAAGGCTTGAAGGAACTGCTCACCAGGTAACAGTAATCTTCAAAGTCTTCCCAACCGCTGGGACAGCGGACTAGAAACGAGAAGAAATGTTTTTTCAGACTTGTCGTTTGGGTCAGATTGGCGTAACAAGATTCTGCCGGTTCGCTGACATGGGTGTAGTGGGTGTAAGAGGTAGTAAGAGGTGTTGGGTTCCTGTTCGTTGCGTCAGCTTCAGTAGGTCGGTAGCAGTTCTACAACAGTTCTTTTCAGAAGTACCCTCACCCGGATGATCACACTATACGAACTACTGATACTTCTGGGTTGAAACCATTTACTACATTGGTCTCTCGAAGAAAATGTTTGTATACAGTATAAATATTTCAACCTACCGATGTTTTCTTCCATGTTTTCCAGCACTCCTGGTTCCTGCTGAACTTGATTCGGTAAAGCTGAAAGAACAACGGGGAAAATTCACTTTTGAGCGATTTGGCTCTCGAGTCTTTCTCTGTTGGAATTTTACCTCAATTTCGTCGACGACCACGTCGAAAATTCGTAAACCTGTCGTACAGTAGATCCGATATATTGGCATTCAAATTAATAAGCACTCTAAGGTAGTTTGATTGATTTGATAAAGCTGCAGAAATCATTTTGCCAGAGAGATACAGTTCTCGAGAGCCTGTGAGCAAGCTCTCTGGGCAGCTCTTACCCCTGCAGTAGAAGCTGCCCAGAGAGCTTGTTTTCTAGCAGGCTATTCTCGAAAAACAAACTTATTTCTTGGGTCCTTTGAGAGTTAAGTGAGAAATTGTCTAATATTTTCACATCGCAACAGTCTTCATCATCTACGTGTAGAAAGAATTCGCGCAATACCCTTCTTCAAATTTTGTTCCTGATTGTTTTTGTAAATCGGCAAATGAACATACCTAAAGCACAGCGTCCCATGGCAAACAGAGCCATAATATGAAGTGGTAGAAATGCAAGCATCTTCGTGTTGACAATATCCAGCGTTCGTCTGGCTGTTTCGAGGGCAAGATGAGTTATGAAGCGCACTAATTGCAAAGTTCTGTATTTAATAGGCATTCTGCACATTTCAGCTATAATTTCATATTGACATGTCCACACTTAATTAACTGCATTTGTTTTAGAGGTTGATTGTTTTTATCATATTACCAAACAAACAAAAATGGTTATATGCGCTTAGCAGCCCCCTTCACCAAGCAGCATTTGGTTTTTCGATATAACCAATTTTTGCGCCTCGCGGCTGTCGGTTATTGTAGCGTGGTGAACAACAATTTCCGGTATGAACCCTGGGAAACAAACGCGAGAAGACTGGGAAGAAGGTATGAGCGAAAGCT